GCGGCACGGCCCACCCTGCACTCTGCAGGCGCTCCAGGCGCTCCACGCGCTCCGGCCGGCGGGAGGGGAGGGAAGGACAGACACTGCAGGGTCACAGAGGTTTTGGGTGAGGTGCTGCTGTGACGTTCACTGGCCGAGACGCGTTAAGTGCCCAACACGCGCGCGCGCGCGTGTGTGTGTGTGTGTGTGTCTAGCGTGCTGTGAGAAGGGGCGCGGCCGAGCGCGGCGACCGAGCGTCTCATGTGGTCTGGGATGCTGCAGAATGGCTAGCGGCGGCTCCCCCCCCCCCCCCCTTTGGCTACGTCCCTGCTACAACCCCGCTCCGCTGCCTGCCAACAAACACTTTCCCACCCGACACCCTACTGCCCCCCTCTTGCCCCCGCCAGTCGAAGGCAAGGGCCTGACACACACACACACACACACACACACACACACACACACACACTCGCAGACTTAAGTCACACAACGGACGCCCGCCCGTGCTACTATGCAACGGTTTCGCAGTGTAGCAGACTCGCGCCTTGCAGCCAAAGAAAGTACCTCCCCCCCCCTTCCCCTCCGCGGGGCGCGAATCGCTCGCTTGATGGATGCGGCGTTTGGGGGCGACGCCGTGGCAGCGGCAGAAAGAAGACGGGGACCAAGGAGGGGGAGGGGGCGCCTTGATGGCGCGGAGCCCCTCGGGACTGCCAGCGCCGCCAGCAGACTGATTCCGAGAGTCGTCCTCGTCGCTCTGTCCCCCTCGCACCCACGCCGCACGCCCCACGAGTGCGAGAGAGACGGCGCGAGGGGCCGCCGCAGTGCCGCCGTAGTGGCGCTGCCGTCCCGGGTAATGACGTTGTCTTCCTAATCAGTCATCAAGGAGCCTCGCGGAACTGCGCCCGGAACTGCGCGGCGCCCGGATCCACGCGGAGGCGAAGGTCGCGGGTTCGAATACCACAGCCAGCCGCCTCCGAGATTTTCTCCGCCCGTCGCCGGGCCGGGCACTTACTGCCGGGGCGCCTTCGTTCCGTCCGCGGAGGAGGGCGGCGCCATGACGACCCTCACGACGACGACGACGACGGCGTCCCCCACGGCGCGGCTGCACGCGACAGTGACGTCACACACGCGTGCGTAGTCTGTCACTGTGCGACCACCACGGCGACCACGCCCACGACGGGCATGAGTGAGGGGCGCCGCGAGGCGCCATCTAGCGGGGCATCAATTAAGTGACGTGCGCGGGGGAGGGGGAGGGGAGGGGAAGCAGACGGACTCGCAGTAATGAAGCTGCGCGACGGCGAGCCGATCGCCCGGCCATCCAAGCGACACATTCAATCCGAAATCTGCCGCCGCGGGATTGCATCCGGATTGCTTCCGGTCGGCGGGGGGCGCGGCCGGAACGGCGCGGTCCCCGCGGCTTCCTTCTCCCTCTCGCCCTGGCGGGGATTGCTGGGGATGGACGGAGATGGGAGACGATGGCAGCGCGGACGCGTCCGGCTCGAGTCTAGTCTGTTGCGGGCAGTGTTGCGCAAGCAGGCGAAGAGCCCCACGACGTACCCGCGTCGAAAGGGGTGCTGCCTGGCGGGGGAACAGGCTCTGCTCTCGAGAAGGGGCCTAGTAGACATTCTTGTTGAAATATTTGCCTGCTTGTGGCAACGCGCCGCCTTGGCGGTAGGCAGCCCGGCGTGCGGGAGCGCGTTGGGTTGCCTAGCCGCCTCGCTGCAGGCGCTCTCCGCTGTGCTGCCCCGCCGTCGACGGAAGGGGGCCTGGCCCTAGGGAGGCCGAACTTGGTCGCCCAGCTCTCCCAGTCGGCGAGTCGTCCCAAAGGCCGGAGGCGCCAAGGGCACCGAATCTGCCGCCATTCAAACCACAGCCCGCGGGGTTTGCTAGTGTGGGCACAGAGGCGGGAACGGCGCCGTCGATACGCCGCGCGCCGCGAACACGTGTCCACACTTGGCCGTCAGTCGAAGACGACGGGGCGCGGGGTAGCGCCGATCGGGTTCCTCTTTTCCACTGAGGACCTGGCCGTCGTCGAGGTGGCCGTCGTCAAGGTGGGCGCCGTCAAGGTGGCCGCTATTCGAACCCGGGGCCAGCGGCGCCAGCACGCGGCGCACGGCGCTCAAATCCTTTGTTTGGCGTTTTCCGTTGTTGTTTTTTTAACCCAATTGGAAGAAGTGGTGGAAAACGTCCGTGACGCCAGGCGCAGGCAGCCTCGCCTCGCGTGGCCCTGGTGGCTAATGTAGGGTGTAGGGGCGGCAGGGCCGGCAGGGCCGCGCCAAGGACGCGTTCCAGTAAGAGCGGCACGCGCCCGGCCCGCCCAGCGCGCAGCGCCGGCAGCGCCCAGCGGTCAGAAAGTGGTCGCCGAATGGACCAATCCATTATGGCGGCAAGGCCAAGCAAAACCACGCAAGGCCACGCGAGGCCGGACAGCATTTTTCAGAAAAATATTTTCTCTTTGCCTTCTTTATCGGTGTGCTGCAATTCTGTGCGGTGCTCTTTTCGCTCTCCACGGCGCGGGTTTTCTCTCTCTCTCTTTCTATCTCTCTCTCTCCCCCCTCCCCCTCACTCTATTTACAGTTCATAAAAGGCGCGGCGGCGCAACCTTCCCGGGCCGACTCCTTTACATAACTTTTCGGCAACTCTTTTCGCCGGCGCCTCCACCGCCACGGAGTTTGCAGCGATGGGATTGTCGCGTCGGCATCGCAGAGGCGGGCCGAGGCCGGGTTAGCGACGCCGTCGCCCCGCCCCCGGGGACACCTTGACGACGCCCACCTTAAAGGCGGCCACCTTGACGACGGCCACCTTGAAGGCGGCCACCTTGACGACCGTCACCGGCTACAAAGCTCTGCTTCCCCAACACAGACGGACAGGCAGACAGACAGGCAGACAGACAGGCGGACTGGCAGGCGATAGCTCGTCCTATCCCTCTGTGCTCGCCGCTCGCCCTGCACACCATGCGTGGCCCGGTAGCTGCGCCACTGCGCCAAGCTGCGCCGGTTCGGGCCGATGGGGGCCTGTCTGTCAAGTGGAGCGTATACATTCCGCCGGCCTTGTGTGCTCCAAGCCAGCGCCAGCCAGCGCCAGCCAGCGCCAGCCAGGGCACTGAGGGACGACCCCTCGCCTCCCTTGTCCACCTGTGCGAGCGGGCTGGGCCGGCCCGGGCCGCGTGCAGCAGAGGGGCCATTGTTTATTCTCTTAGACCTCCCCTTGTCTCCTTGTCTGCCTCCTCTTCTTGGCCGGCGACCCGCTCCACCCCTCGGTCCACGCAGACAGCGCACTGACGTCGAGAATCGCTCCGTCTCTCTCGCACCCGTGGGGCGTCCCGTATAGGTGCGAGAGAGACGGAGCGACGACTCTCGGAGTCAGCCTGCCGCCTCTTGGAATCGTAACGACGCGTAAATAATGGAACGGAGGCGATCGGCAGCGGGCCGCCTTTGTGACGAGCATGTGACGAGCATGTGACGGACGAGTGGAAAGAGTGACGAACGATGTGACGGACGGGCGCGTGTCGAGTGACCGAGTGACGAACCTGTAGACGTGTCGGAAGGCGTGTGCGCTGACTTTGTCACGCACCACATCGAGATACCCAAGTGCCTGTTGAAACTGGCGGCCGCTGTTTGGCTTTGCTGGTTTCTGATTAATGTGTGACGTTGTGTTAGTGCGTTAGCGTGTGTAAGTGTGTGTGTGTGTGTGTGTGTGTGTGTGTGTGTGTGTGTGTGTGTGTGTGTGCACTACGATCGGCCGATGTGACCAGCGCGCTTTGGCACTGCGGAGGTGCGCCTATATGGACACGGCCCGCCATCAAATATTGCCGCGTTGCCCCGCAAATAGACCGTGGCGGGGCGGGCCGGGGCGGGCCGGGGCGAGGCGTTTGCCAATCCCCACGTTCGCCGCTTTCGCCGTTAGCTCATCTACGAAGCGGAATGACTCGCCGGCCTGCCTGGCGCGGCCATCCGTCCATCCATCAAACTTCATATGGCACACTGCAGCAAACAACAACAACAACAATAATAACAGTAATTGCTTTGGGTTAATGCCCATTCGGAATTCTGTTGTTGTTGTTGTTTTCAGGAGCACTTGCAGCCCCGTGTGCCGTTCCGTGCTGAGATTGCCGTTTCTGGGTTTGCAGTGGAGGAACGTTGGGGGAGTATACGTTTGCCGTGAAACTCGTTCGGCATCAATGTAACGTGGATCCCTGCCCCCCCTTGCCGACCCTTGCCGACCCGCACCCCTGTCAACACCCTGCCAACAGGCCCCCAAAGTCCGTGGGCCACACAGGAGTTTGCACCTGCCCCCTCCCCTCCCCCCTTCCCCCGCATCGAACGTGTAGCAGGAATAATTAAATCCCAGCCGGTCCAGTCCGCCCCGTGCTGCCCCTTGCTGCGTAGAGGCGGACACCGAAAAGTTATGGCGTTCGCCGCTCTGTCTCTCTCGCACCCGTACGGGACACTCCGCGAGTGCGAGAGGGACAGAGTGACGATCGTGGATGGCACGCCCCACTTGCAGAACAACTAATGCGAACGGCAGGCCAGGGCGCCGTGACGCCGTTTGCCGCCCTCCCCCTTCCCCTCCCCCTCCCGCCCCTCCCCTCCCCCCCCCCTCCCCTCGAGACCCAGCAGAGCCAGCAGACCCATAGCCCAGCCCCCCACGTGCATCGCCGGCGCGTCACAAAACCAACAAGTCAAACCGGAATTCCAATATTCAGGCGGCCTCCGCCTTTTTCACCTCCCTCCCCCTGTCTCCCCGTATCTCCCATCTCTGTCTGTCTCCCTCGCCCCGCCGCGGCGCGCCGGGACGAAGGCAGCCCCACGGCCCGGCACGGCCCCGCGGCCCGCAAATGAAATGGAAAACCACAGCAACTGAAATGAACGAGAGAGAGAATGTTAGTGTCTGGCATCGACGTTGCGGCTGGGAATAATGTTGTTGTCGCTGTTTGCAGACCGCCACGCGGACCACGCGGACCACGCGGGCCAGGCTGGGTCCGGCCGGGCTGTAGAGCGACGCCCAGCGCCGCGGACGCTGCGGACGCCGCGGACACCATGTGGAGCTCCGTGACGGACACCCTGGGCAGCATCACCAAGCTGTGGCGGCGGCGCAGGATGGCCAGTGAGTACCGCGCCCATGGCAAAAATTTTCTCTTCATTTAAGCGTAACATCTTCAACTCTAACTGCAAGCTTGACTCGGGCATAACTTTACCAGTGTGGTGGTGGTGAACATGCGGATAAGCACATGCGAAGGTGGGGTTTTAGCCCCGGAAAGCGTTCGCCCCCCAAGGCGGCCCCAAGGTCACGTTGTTTTCTTTTCTCATTTGTAGTTTATTTATTTAGGCGTTATCTCCGCGCTGCCCGGCCGCCTGGACCCTTCCCGTCAGCGCGTCGCGGCGCGTCGGCGGGGCCAAGTCCTCCCGCCGAGGGAGGTCGCGGCGAAGGTGCAAACTTCGGGCGGGGCATTTAAATTTTTGTAGGGAAAGTTAGCGCAGGTTGTGTGTGTGTGTGTGTGTGTGTGGCCCCGCTGCGCCCCGCCTGCGGCCAAACTTTGCAAAGTCCTGCCAGTGTAGCCGCGGGGCGGTCGGGGCGGTTCATCAACAAACGCGGCACGGCAGGCGTGGCGCCGGAATAAATATACTCCAGTGTACCTGGCACACAGTGTGGTGGGCGCCGTGGCGCCCGGCAGCAGGCGCTGGACGTCGGCGAGAGTGCGGCTGCACTGTGCCTGCACAGGGAGCGCCGGGGAGATAGGCAACGCGGCGACTGGCCGGGCGTGGGGTTGCCTACCCTGGCGGTGGCAGGCGCTATCTCCGTCTCTCTCTGGCTCGGCTGGAGGCTGGGCTCCAGTCCGCTTCCAGTCAGAGGATCAGCCGCGCGTCGCCTCGCTCTTTTTAAACGACGTCTTTCCTTCTTTTCCTTTTTCTCTTCGTGCCGGCCGCACCGTGCTGCTCATCGTGTATCTCATTGTGTCTCCATGGCAACGCTTCGGCCGCTGCAGCAACGCCGGGGCGTCGGTGCAGTGCAGCGCCCTGGACGTGGACGAGTAGGGACGTTGCCACGTGCTGGCTCTGGAGGATGCTCCTGTCTGCCTGCAGGTTCATTCCGTCGCTCCGTCTCTCTCGCGCTCGAGGTGCCCGCACCGTGGAGGTGCGAGAGAGACGGAGTGACGAGACCTCCTCCCTTCCCCCTCTCGAAACAGCCCTTAAGTCCCCCCCCCCCCTCCCCGTGGTTGACGCACGCATCATTACTTCGCACGGCTAACTACGCCGGCAACATGTCTGCCACCGCCCCGCCCCGCCACGCCATGTCAGGAGGCTTGTCGGAGGCTTGTCCAAGGCTTATCACGAGGGCCGCGCCGTGGCAGCCGAGCCTGTAATCATGACGGGCAGCAGGCTGCTTCCGACGGCGGCTTTGATCGCGCCGTGCCTCTCTCTCGCACCCTCACGGGGCCGCCCCGTGAGGGTGCGAGAGAGACGGTCGCGACGAGAGGTCCCTCCGGAAGCGGCGCGCCGCGCGTACGTGGGCTAAACTGGCAGACAGGGAGTCGCGATTAGGCCAATTTGCCCGGCGCCCCGGACACGGACGTGGACGAGGACGCGGATGAGGGCGCGGGGGCGGCGATCGGCGGCCCGGTTTACACTGGCATGGCGGACCCCGAGGAGAACAGACGAGTCCAAACGAACTCGATCCCGTTTTGGCTCATCCGCTGTCCTTAGACTCGTTTCGAGTGAGAGGCATCCACCACTGGCACCACGTCCGTGTTTTTAACTGCGTCGTCGCATCGCGTCCTATTTGTGGAGCCCGAGCTCTAACCTTGTCTAGAGTAGTTATACGTCCCACGCAGGCCTGCGGCTCCGGGGGCGGGGCGGGGCTGCCGTGACTGCAGCGGTAGTTATGAGTCCGGGGGCAATCCGGACTCCGGAGACTAGGCGATGTCGTCGCTGAGTCACGAGGCCGAGGCCGCCGAGTCCTCGCACGGACTTGAGCTCACAAAGGGTGGACATATGCTGGCGCGGACGTGATATACTAGTTTTGCATGGCTGCAGGCCGGAACAGAGGCGGGGTGGGGCGGGGCGGGGAGGGGCGGGGCGTGGCCTTTCCGCCCCATGAGCCGCTTGGTTTATTACGGGACAGCGCTGTGCGACCGCGGCGGAGGAATCACACGCCACGCCGGGATTTCGGAGTGGCCCCCACACTGCTTGTGCGTGTGGCGTATCGTCGCGGTCGCGGACAATTTATCGTTTCCCCGCCGTTTTCTTTCCTGTCCGCGACGTGAATTTCTGTTCGGTGGGGAATGCCGCGCGCTGCCGCAGAATTTAACGCTGTCTACGGTTTCCACGGTGCGCGACGACGACGGCGGCGGCGGGGCGCTCCGAAAGCACACCGCAACGCGTCACCGCGACGACAACCCTCCCCTCTCTCTCCCTCCCTTTCTCTCACTCCCTCTCCCTCTCTCGGAAAGCCTCCTCCCCGCCGCTCTTCGCTGCCTCCTCCGTCGCGGCTTCCCAGGACTCTGCCGCTGGTAGTCGCGTCGCTTAAAGACGTCCTCTTTGTGCCGCGAATATTAAATAACTCCCATATTGCACGACCCAGCCGGCGAGGAGAACCAACAGACAGACAGACAGACAGACAGACAGACAGACAGACAGACAGACAGCCAGACAGACAGACAGACAGACAGACAGACAGACAGACAGACAGACAGACAGACAGACAGACAGACAGACAGACAGACAGACAGACAGACATTCTGGCGGGTGGGCGGACGGACGGACGGGCATTCAGACCAGACAGACAGACAGACAGACAGACGAACGGACTGACACACAGACAAACAGACCACTGCCGACGCGCGTCCACCCCCGGTGCCGTTGCGTCACTACGACGGTGTCCCCTGTTTCTTAGTAAGGGAAAGAGAGATAGACAAAAGCAAGGCACACACATAATGCCGTTCCAATAGGTAACTTGAGGTGCCGTGCCGCGCCGTGCCGCGCCGTGCCGTGCCGGCCGCGTGACCGCGCGTGGTGACGTCACCGCCCCATTATCTGTCCCCGCGTGCCGCGCGTGCCGCGTGCCGCGTGCCCCGCGTGCCCGCGTGCTGCAGGTGGCGGAGCGGCCGGAGCAGCGCGTGCCGCGTCCCCTGCAAACAGGCGGGGATTACGGGGCGCCGCTCTTCGCAAACAGTGGCGCGGCGAGGACGAGGAGGAGGGGGAGGAGGGCCTTCTTCTTGAAGTTGGCGGTGTGGCGGCGACGTTGTGTGCGGGGGAGCCCGATACACAGGGCGTGCCCCGCCCTAGCCCGCCCGAGGCACCCCAAGGCACGGCCGGCACGGCAGGCACGGCGGTCCAAGGCCCTGCTGGACACATTTATCAGAGCAAAGACCCGCCCTCCCCCTCCCCCTCCCCCTCCCCTCGGCGGCGCGTTATTTCAACGACGCGTGGCGCAAAAGCCGCAGGCCGCGCACCGCTCCGCACCGCCTTGCCAGCACTGCCTCGCCAGCCTTAGCGACATGTGCATGATGGAATTTAATAACGCAGCTGCTGGACGCCACACGCCCCGCCCGCCCCGCCCTGGGCTGGTGTCGAGTGTGCGCTCACACACACACACACACACACACACACACACACACACACGCGCGCTCTCTCTCGCACGCACTCTCGCAGGCGCGCCTCGGCTCACACACACACGGACGCAGTGGATGTGGTCTTATAAACTTGGTCCCCGCCTAAAGCCATAAAACTTGACCAAACAGATGCCGTGCCTGCGCGCGGCGCGCAGATCGCGCCGGGCTGCGCTGCTGCACCACTGTTAACTGAACGAGTCCGTCCGTGCGCGGTGCACCGCGTGCGCGTCTGTTGCAGAAAAAGACACTCGGAAAAAGGAAACAACATGAGCCGAGCCGCGCCGTGTTTCGTGCTGTGTTCCGTGTTCCCCGACCCGACAGCGCACTGAGCCCGGCTCGGCCCGGCTCGGGGTCGGTACGGGGGTTTACGCGGAGCGCGGGGCGCACTGCCCGGCACTGCCAAGCCAAGCGGACAACCCGTGCCAGCAGACTGATGATTCCGAGTGGACGTCCTGTCTCTCTCTCGCTAGTGGGGCGTGCCGGGCGTGCCGTGTGGGTGCGAGAGAGACAGGCCGACCGGGCTGGCCCGCTCGGAATGAGCCTGCAGGCCCTGGCTAGCCGGGGTGGCGCTGGGCCGAGCCATAGGCCGCATCAAATCGAAATTTTTTTTTGCGAATTGACATTTTTTGAAAGATCATGTTCAGAAACGACCCTCCACCAAATTTGAGCGCGTTCCGACAACGGGAACCCGAGGCGCAGAGGGCCTATTGATTTGCGGCCCGCGGGTTGCCTACCTCTAGCTGCTTCTTCTCGGCTCCGCGGCTCTCTGCTGGTGCACTCAAGGAACGCAACACAGCGTTGGGGCTGTCCTTTGGGGTCAGTACTACACATTCAATACGTTTTGAGCACCGTCGGGTGCGACCCCGCGAGTACACCGCGAGAAAACCGCGAAATCGGTTTGCTCTACTTTCTACGCATTTGAAGCGTTCGCGGCGGGCGAAATCGCTGGTGGAGCAGCACAACCATATCGGCCAAGGACACACAAAGTTTGAGCAGAATGCGCCACCTGCATCACCGTCAAAATGAGGGGAATAGTGTTGCGCTCGGTCCGGAGGTAGGCCACCTGCGGCACAATCATATTTTCGCCCAGTGGAACTCGTTTTCCTGTTATCGGAATGCGCTCAAATTCGGTGAAGGGTCGTTTCTAAGCATGGTCTGCTAGAAATAGGCGGAAATAGGTCGATTTGCAAATATCGGTGACTTTTGTTATGGCTAACCAGTGGCCTAGCTTCCCGGCGCAACACTATTCCCCTCATTTTGACGGTGATGCAGGTGGCGCATTCTGCTCAAACTTTGTGTGTCCTTGGCCGATATAGTTGTGCTGCTCCACCAGCGATTTCGCCCGCCGCGAACGCTTCAAATGCGTAGAAAGTAGAGTAAACCGATTTCGCGGTTTTCTCGCGGTGTACTCGCGGGGTCGCACTCGGCGGTGCTCAAAACGTATTGAATGTGTAGTACTGACCCCAAAGGACAGCCCCAACGCTGTGTTGCGTTCCTTGAGTGCACCAGCAGAGAGCCGCGGCGCCGAGAAGTAGCAGCTAGAGGTAGGCAACCCGCGGACCGCAAATCTTTAGGCCCTGTGCGCCTCGGGTTCCCGTTGTCGGAACGCGCTCAAATTTGGTGGAGGGTCGTTTCTGAACATGATCTTTCAGAAAAATGTCAATTCGCAAAAATCGGTGATTTTTGATGCGGCCTACCGAGCCATGGCCGAGCGCTGGGCGCTGCCACGGCGTGGCGAGGCGAGGCGAGGCGAGGCGTGGCGCGCTTCACGGAGCTTGCTTCGGCTTGCTTCGGCTTGCTTTGGCTTGCTTTGGCTTGCTTTGGCTTGCTTTGGCTTGCTTTGAGCTTCAGCCTGCGTCGGCCAGGCCGGCCTCGCCTGTATCGCCGCCGACCAGGCCGGGCCATATCAGAGTGGCGGCTGCGTCTCCCCTCCCCCTCTCTCCCTTTCTCTTTCTCCCCTCCACCCCTCCACGCCACGCCAGGGCGACTGCCCCCAGTCAGTGTATTGGAAGCCACGCATTTGTTGAGTCGAATTCTGTCGTTTTGAAACGGCTGGGGTCTGGAAGGGGGAGGGCGCGAAGGCGCACAGTCATGGCACAGCACTGCAAAACGACCCCCGTCCCCCCTCAAGCCCTTGCAGGGAACAATGCCCTTCGGGCCTGGGGCCTTGGGGCTGGGCTAAGGGCGGGCCAAGGAGGCAGCGAGTCGAGCGAGACCGAGAGGGAGGTCTCCCTTATTGCCAGCCTTGACCACCCTTCGCGCCTGCCAGGCCTAAGGGCGCGGAGGGCCACGCCAGCCAAGCCACCTGTAGCAGTGTGACGGCCAGGAAGGGCCCGAAGGGCCCCATGCTGCAGAGCGGTCGGCCGCCGTCCGCCTGACTGACCTAAACTCAATGTCTGGCTGGTCCGCCTGCGAGAGAGGCTCGCCGACTAACCGAATAGGAACGAATGGGCGCGGACAAGCGGACGGAGGAACTGCAGATAGACAGACTGATAGTGCTTTGCTTCGGCGGAGGCGAAGGCGAAGGCGAAGTGAACCTTGTCAAGTTCGCGCCGGGAGCGAGCTGGGGGCAGGGGGGCGGCCGCGAGGGGTGGGGGTTGTAGCCGACGAGTACTGTTGGTCCCCGCGGGCGGTGCTTCCGTCCCCCCCCCCCCCCCCCCCCCCGCCCCGCCCCGCCTCCGCGGACTGAGGACAACATTATTTGGCAAACGACGTTAGGTCTCGAGGCGATTAGCATCAAAGGGTTGCTCGCCGCGTCGCCAACACCCGGAGGAAGAAAGACAAGGTAAAAGCCACGCCAATGTTTTTGTATCGGTTTCGGTCAACACGCAGCCAACGCAGGGCCTCGCTTTTGCAAATAAATGCCCCCCGGGAGTCCCCGCGGGGGCAAACTAGGTACGTGCGTGATGATCAATAAAAAAAAGAGTGCCCCTTCGGCGCACCCTTCGGGCCGTGCAGGCCCTTCAGGCGGCCAAGACAAGGTCGCGAACCCCTTTTTTTCGTGAAATATTCAGGAGGCCCAATTTTGTCCCGAGGCAATATAATGCCGGCGCAAAAGGCCAGCGGTAAGGAAGGGACCGCGGCAGGCCGGTGCCGCAGAGTCGCCCCGTCTCTCTTGCACTCGTGGGGCGACCAGCCTGAGCGCGAGAGAGACGGAGCGACGAAACGACGCTCCGGAGTCGCTCGCCAGGACTCGGCAGGACTCGGCAGGGACTTGGTAGGCGCGGGCCCCAAGGACCATGCAGCGGGAACCTGCGGGGACACAGGTGTGCCAGAAAGACCGCCAGATTGACAGGGCAGGGCGGGGCGGGGCGGGGCGGGGCGGGGCGGTCTGAGCCGAGGTGGTTGGGGCTTAGGGACGCGTCCGTCCGGCGGTCCCCTCTCTTGGATAAAAATCATTTTGTCCCCCCTTGTCGCCTGTCCGATAGGAACAGCGGCGCGATTATTTTAGAGAGAGAAAGAAAACCTCAAATAAGCTCCTGCGGCCTGGAGCCAGGGAGCCGGGGGGACACTGGCTAGCCGTCCCTTGGCAGGATCCGACCTAACTCGAAGGTCGTGCCGTGAGGGCCGTGCGGGGCTTAGACACGGGACTCTATCCCGGGGAGAACAAGCGGGTGATGGAGTGTGCGGCGACGGCAAACGGAGCGACGTCTAGAGAGTCTAGCTCGCTGCCAAAACGCCCTTTCATTTTGACGATAAAAGAGACCGGGTTTTCAGAAACTTTTCACTAAAGTTTGGTTTAGGAACGGCTCAGACGAGTATACCGCACCGAACCTGGCGCCTCAGCCTGCGTCCTGCCTGCGTCGCCTGCTTGGGGTGCTTGCGGTGTGGACGAGAACGGAAGAGAACGGCAGAGGCTCTATTTTTACGAGCTTGCTGGTTGAAAAGGACTGCTGCAGGGAGCAACACTGTCGCCGCGGCGTGTGTGTGCGTGCGACGCCGTGCGTGTGTGTGTGTCCGTCCGTTTCTCTTGGGACAGGTACAGGGCCTCCACCACCCCGTGGCGGCGGTGGCGGCCGTGGCGGAGGGGCCTTCCACACTGTGAACGAGGCGACGGGGACCTCCGAGGGGAGGGGGCTGTCTCTGGACATTTTGCCTCACGTTGCCGGTTTCGGACCCGCCACGCCACGCCACGCCACGCCACGCCGACCGTGTGTGCTGCTGCCGGCGAGGCCTAGCGGGAGGGGGGCAGGGAGCGGGGTGACGTTCTGTTTTATGGCTGCCACGAGAGGGGCAGGACAAGCATTTTGGTGGCACTAAAATTTGTCTCCGGCCCACCCTGCTGCTGCCTGCTGGCGAGGCTGGCGGGTGTCGCGACGCGCGTGACGCCACCAGGCTGACTCCGCTGGCGTAACGCTGGCGTCGCTCTGTCTCTCTCGCACTCACGGGGCGTGCCGACGGGGTGCGAGAGAGGACACGCCGTTCGGGGCCATCCTGTTCTGCTGCTGGCCGAACGTGGCCGAGGCTCGGACGGGCGACGTGTCCTCGTCTCGGCGGTCAAGCAGAAAGCAGCGGTTTGCTGTTCCGCGCGGCGCGCCTCGGGGCACAGCCCCCCCCCCCCTCCGTTTCCTGTTCTAATGAACGGGCTCTCGCTGCTTCGCGCTTCGCGGGGCGGATGTCAATCCGGGCGCAGAAAGGTCGCGCGCCGCCTTTCTTGTCGTTTCTGTTTTTGTTCTTGTTGTTTTTTGGCTCCAGCAGGGCGCGAACCCGGGCCGCGCGGCACGCTGGCTCGGCGAGAAGAGAGAAGCGAGAAGCCTCCTCATTATACCGAACGAGACGGAAGAAGGGGCTGGGCGCTGCGGCTCGCTGTCCAAGACGCGGCGCTCTGTCTCTCGCTCCCAGGCGACTCAAAACAAAAACAAAATGCCTTCTCCATCCCAATTATTGATCCTCACTTCGGCGCCTCGGAGCCCTATGCGGCCCGATGCCCTCGCCTCTGTCTCTCTCTCTCTCTCTCTGTCTCTGTCGCACTCGTGGGCCGTGCCGCCGGCGTGCGAGAGAGACAGAGCGACCGGGCGTCGAGCCTTCTGCGGCGGAAATTGTAAAACCTCACGCACCGGCCTGGGCCGGGCTGCGGGGCTGCGCTAATCCGCGCGAGGAGTTTGCCCATTAATCCGATCCAGGCTTCCAGCGTGCTTCCAGCGTGCCTCCAGCTTCCAAGCTTCCAGGATCGCCAGGCACCGCTTAATTATTTTACCACCGCACTGGAAACTGAAGCGCTCCAAGTTTCCGCCACTGTAAACTGCAGCGCATCTCTGCAGTCGGGCCCGCGCTCTGTCTCCCTCGCACTCACGGGACGTGCCGTATCGGTGCGAGAGAGACAGAGCGACGGAGCGCATACTGTCCAGAGTCAAGTTGCTGGACCACGAACATGGTGGTAGGTACGACTGGGACGTAAAGCGAACTGGAAAACTGATTGCGGGAGCTTTCCTGGAGCCTGGCTCGGACAGTCCTCAAACCTTGCTGGAGCCTTGCAGGAGCCGAGCTCGTTCTCCCTCTCCGGTCGCTGATTGTTTTCGAATCGATTTCCCCGCTCCAGGTCCGCGATGGCCGATTTAAAATAAGAATCCCGGCCGTCGTTCGGGCCATCGCCGTGCCATCCTGGGCCATCCGCCTCGAAACAGGACAATTTCCGGTCGCCTGGCCACTTGGCGCTGCCGAGTGAACAGTGCTCCCTGTCTCTCTCGCGCCCACGCACGACGCCCCATGCCCGCGAGAGAGACAGAGCGCCGGAATCACTGGACCGAGTAAGACGGCCGAAACACGACGTGACCTGGCGACCCTGGCCTTGGGGCTGCCTCGGGGCCGAACACCGCTTTCGTCGCTCTGTCTCTCTCCCTCTGCCGCCCTCACGGGAGTGCGAGAGAGATAGAGCGAGAAAGGGAGTCTTGCTGGTCTTGTACGACGCCGTAAACCACCTAATTGAGCGTCGCTCTTTTACTAACGACATAAAAACGGCGGGGAGGAAATCACTACGGGTTCGTCACACTTCGTCACGCTTCGTCACGCTTCGTCACGCTTCGTCACGCTTCGCCGCGACTCAGCCGTGTGCGTTCTGTGTTCCAGGGACCTGCTGCCAGTCGGGCGCTGGCTCGGGCGGCGAGGGCGCCGCCATGGAGTCCAACGCGGCGGGGACCGACGGCGCGGAGGGCCGCTTCGTGCCGGGGGTCGGCGTCGTCGGCGAGGGTCCCGCGCGGACGCCGGCCGGGCCGAGGCGCGAGGACTCCGAGGAGCGCGACCAGCCCTCCGCGCGTAAGCAAGCCGGACCAGCCGGACGCGGGTTCGAGTCCCGATCCACCGCACGCTTTTCATTCGGTCGTTCCGTTCCAGTGGACGCGGCGGCGGTGCTGGCGTGGCTGCGCGCGCACCCCGACGTGCTGGAGAAGCACGTCATGGACGAGCTGGAGCTGGAGACGCTGGAGCGGTGGATCATCCGGAAGACGCAGCGCGCCAAGAAGCAGGCCCAGCAGGGCGCGGGTGAGATAGAGAGAGCGTCGCACTCACTAACAGTGGCCCCATTTTAGAGAAGTCCGTGCTTCTGGCGTTGCACGATATACGTAACCAATTGTTTCCTGCCTTTTTTTTTCGCCGCATTCATTTCTATGGCTAACCCATCCCCTTTTATGAAAAGATATGGCCGCGTAAAAACGCACAGACTCCCGACTGTCAATTCACTGACAAACTGTCTAAACAAAAACAAAAAAAAAGCTACTGGTCTGCGGCCCTGGGCGAGCGTTGCCAACGGGCCGAGCCACGGGCACGGACATGGCGAACGAGTTTGTTTACGAATGTGGGCGTTGTCAACATGGCGCTGTGTCACAGAGGCTTTGTTATGCGTTCTGTTGCAGGGAAGAACGGAAGGAAGACTTCGCTGTCTCGGTGGAAGGTGAGTGGCATTGCAGGCGGAGGGGGAGGGCAGCACGCGTCCAGTCCCCTCAGCGACTACGTCTTTCACTCGTTTTCCGCGCTGAAACTCGATACAGCGCCCAGGGGCAGCCCCGGCCAGCCCGTCCTGCCGTGCCGGCTCCTTTTCCTTGGTTCTTTCCCCTGCTCGCCAAAGAGAAGAGGCCAGTGGGGCTCCGATGATCGAATCGCCAGGTTCAAACAGAGCGCCTTCCTTGCGCCAGCCCGTTGTCACGGCCGTGCACTTGTTGTTGTTATTGGTCCCGTTGTTGTTGTTGCTGTCCCCGCAGTTCTGCGTCCACGCCGACAAGCGCCAGATGCTGCAGGAGCTGACGCAGTCCCTGCAGCGCGGCCCGTCGCGCGCGCACGTGCTGTTCGAGCTGGCGGGGTGCATCAGCTCGGCCGTGAGCGCGGACGGCTTCCGCCTGTTCCTCGCCGAGCAGGGCGAGCCCGACAACCTGACGGAGTACGTCGGCGAGGAGGAGCCCACCCCGCTCACCGGGTACGCTTGCGCGCAGAGCTTTTTTTTTGTCGATTTTATTTTTTTAATAAATGAAAGTTACCCGTGTTTTACGGCGTCCTTGTGCCGCAGGTCCTCGGCGCGCCGCTCCTCCGGCGTCACCGTCCCCGGCTTCGTGGCGAGGACCAGGGAGCCCGTCAGACTGTCCTACACCGAACCGGACCCCCGGTTCCCCAACGGACTGGCCTACAACGTGAGCAGCCTCTCATTCCCGCACACTGTATAAGCGGTGACGGACAGCCGAACTGACGCGAACCCTGTGCGCCCTGCTCCCCCAGGGCCACGTCATGTGCCAGGCCGTGCTGCAGCCCGACGGCTCGCTGGCCGGCGTCCTGGAGCTGCGCCGCGGCCCCCACAACGCGCCGTTCCACGAGGAGGACGAGGAGATCAGCCAGTCGTACCTGGTGTGGGGCGGCATCGCGCTGCACTACGCGCACCTCTACCTGTCGCAGGACCGCCAGCGCAGGCTCAATGACTTCCTGCTCACCGTCGTCAAGTACGTGTGCACGCCTCCCCCCCTCTCTCTCTCTCTGACACACACCCACGGGACGCCCCGTGAGTGCGACAGAGACAGAACGACGGCACCGGTCGGTGCCGTAGGGCGCCTGCGAGAACAGGGCTGGGCCAGCCCGCGAGACACGGCTGTGTTGCGGGCCGGCCTACGCCGCCGCTCGCAGGCTGACGGCCGCGCCGCCCCGCGCGCACCGCTCCAGTGCCCAGTGTTGCCACATAAAAGGCACAAAATAAAACACAGCAAAAAAAGCACACCAGTGTCAAAAGAATTCTTCCAAGTAATTTCTAGTCACTCGATAAGTTGCCTTGTAGGCAGGCTGAGGTACGCAACTTTTTCGACCCTGGAAGTTTTCGGTAACACTGCCCTGCCGGCTCTGCCCCGGCTCTGCCCGCGCAGGTCCATCTTCCAGGACATGGTGAGCATGGACCTGCTGGTGACCAAGGTGATGAACTTCGCCCAGCGGCTGGTGGACGCGGACAGGGCGTCGCTGTTCCTGCTGGACGCGCGCTCGGGCGAGCTGTACGCGCGCATCTTCGACGTGGGCGGCGAGCAGCAGCAGCAGGGCTTCGAGGCCGGCGCCGGCTCGGAGGACTCGCTCGCCTCCGCCTACAAGCTGCACACCGAGGAGATCAGGTACGTCGTGAGGTACGTCAAGTATTCGGGTCCCCGACGATGACGTCACGTTCGGGCTCGGCTCCGCCAGGTTCCCGATGGGCACGGGCATCGCGGGCCAGGTGGCACGCACGGGGGAGGTGCTCAACATCCCCGACGCGTACTCGGACCCGCGCTTCAACCGGTCCGTGGACCAGCTCACGGGCTACCGCACCCGCTCCATCCTCTGCATGCCCATCTTCATCCGCGGCGCCCTCATCGGCGTCGTGCAGATGGTCAACAAGCGGTCCGGGACCTTCAACAAGGAGGACGAGGAGGCCTTCGAGACGTTCGCCGTGTACTGCGGGCTGGCCCTGCACCACGCCAAGCTGTACGACAAGATCCGGCGTTCGGAGCAGAAGTACCGCGTCGCGCTGGACGTGCTGAGCTACCACAACACGTGCCTGGACGAGGAGGTGCAGGACATGCTGGGGCGCGGCGTGCCGGACGCGCTGCCGCAGGTCGACCAGTGAGTGAGCGTGGACGTATACCGAGGAGCGTGGCGCATTCCGTCCGCATGACTAACGTCCGTTCCCGCAGGTTCCACTTCAACGTGTTCGACATCGACGACCTGGAGAAGGCCCGCCACGCCGTGTTCATGTTCAAGGACCTGTTCGGCCTGAGTCGCTTCGACGAGGACAGCCTGATCCGCTTCACGCTGACCGTGCGCAAGAACTACCGGCGGGTGCCGTACCACAACTGGACGCACGGCTTCTCGGTGGCCAACACCATGTACGCCATCATCAAGCACTCCGGAGGGGTGTTCCGCGAGGAGGAGGTGCGGCCATTTCGTTCGTTCTCATCAAGTACTGTGGTGAGTGACGTGCTGGTGTGCTGACGTGGAGGTCTGCCGCAGGCGCTGGCGCTGTACATCGGCTCGCTGTGCCACGACCTGGACCACCGCGGCAAGAACAACCAGTTCATGCTGGAGACCGAGTCGCCGCTGGCCAGCGTCTACAGCACGTCCACGATGGAGCACCACCACTTCAACCAGACCGTGGCCATCCTGCAGCAGCAGGGACACAACATCTTCCAGAAGCTGACCAACAGCGAGTACAAGCAGGTGCTGGGGCTGCTCAAGCACTGCATCCTGGCCACCGACCTGGCCGCCTTCTTCCCCAACCGCGAGCGACTCACGCGGCTCGTCAGCAGCGGGGCCTTCTCGTGGGACAACGACGAGCACCGGTAAGAACACCTCTCCGTCTCTCTCGCACTCGCACGCCGCGCCGGCGCGACCCTGACCGGCTGGTGTTCTTCCAGGCTGTTCCTGGGCGCCATCGCCATGACCGCCAGCGACCTGTCGGCCAGCGCCAAGCCCTGGGAGCTGCAGGTCAAGACGGTCAAGGTCATCTTCGAGGAGTTCTACCAGCAGGGCGACGAGGAGCGGGCCGTGGGCATGGTGCCCATCCCCATGATGGACCGCAACCAGCCCGACCAGCAAGCGGCGTCGCAGGTACGGCACCCGCCTCGGCCTTTTACAGGAACACGCCAAAAAATACCAATTCAAGTGGCTTGAACCCGGATCCTCTTGCCCGCAGGTGGGCTTCCTGACGGGCATCTGCTTGCCCTGCTACTCGCTGCTCAGCGCCTTGATCCCGGACACCAGGCCGCTGCTGGACGAGTGCCGCACCAACCTGGAGCGCTGGAGGGAGCTGGACAACTCCCGGCGGGGCGCGCGGGGCAGCCAAGACTCCGGCGAGCCACCCCACGGGGCGAACGGGCCTCCCAACGGTCCCCCCAACGGGACCCCTCACAAGACTCCCAACGGGGCACCTCCGACCGCGCCCCTCACCACAGCAGTGCGTTGATGAGCACCCCATGCGTGCTTCCATCCCATCACCGAAACGCTGTGCAATTAATTTTACCTTCACCGCTCTCGACGAAATTGGTTTACCCTGTGCTTCCCTTTACAGGGGCCGCTGCAGTCGACACTCTCCCTGGATTCGGATTCGCCCTCGGCGATTGCTTCCCTGTCCCACGGTGGCTCTGCGCCCGACTCTTCGGACGAGGCGACTCGGAGCGCCCCGACCTAGTCACTGACTTGTCACTGACCGTCTCCTCCCCAATGCATCACCGTTCTTCGCCTTCATTTAGGGACCCTTCCGTGTCGCCGTCGACTCGCGCGAGTGTCATCAGTGACAGCCAACGAGCTGCGATACGAATTTCCCCCTTACTTTAGACTTAAGTAGGATATCTCGTTTCCGAACTGACCTAGCCACTATTTCGATCCCTTCTGGGAGGCGTGTCCCCCCAGTTTTGCGCTGATATGTGTCGACTGTGATGTGTGTGCGTTTGTGTGAGTGTGCGTGTGTGTATGTCTATAGTTGTTACAATGTTGTGAGTTTTAAGAAATAATGATGCGTATAAAGTAGAGATAACTTCGAGTTTGAATTTCGATGAATTTTGGCCGCTCATTCAGCGTGCTGCTCTTGGAGGCCTCCCATACCCGCCCCGCAACACACCGCTGAGTTAGTGAGGACGGTGGGTGGCCCACCTCCCATGCTGTCCTATGCCTGCAAAGCGCGAAGGCAAAGTGAAGATGGGTCCTATCGGCCGGGTCGGCTCACGTGGGACACCCTCAGACTCGTCCATTAGAGGCGTGAATTTGTAGAGTTCGTTTGTGGTTCTTCTGCTTGTCCACGGCGGCCTGTCGCAGTTCACCAGCCTTCAGCCCGATTTCATGGAATTTAGTGACACCCATTCACATTTTCTCAGTATTAATGCACTTCAGTCGGGCAATAAGCGAACAAGTCCCATTTGTTCCTCCTAAAGAAGTGTTTGGGTATTGTAGCTTAAACTTGATTTATCTTTTCATCTCACATATCATATTTATGTTTTTCAAAGATAGTGATTGTGTGCTGAAGGAGTGCCTGTTATTCCAAAGAACATTCCAGAAATGTCACAATTTTTGTTCAAATTTCCCATCTGCTGAATTGGATTGTATTTATTATCCCATGGACAACATTTTTGATCAATAGGTTTCCTTTTAAGTTTCTGTGTTTGAGACCATCATCTGGATCAATTATGTAGGCAAAAAATTGATGTGATTACCAAGTTTTATCTTTTAATATGACCTTAACTATAAAGAATCTTCTCTTAGACTGAACTTAGTCTAATTTCTCAACATGCTATAGCATTGTAAGTACCTGGAGCTGAGCCTTGAGATATGCAAAGTGTATGTGTATATGTATGTGAAAGTTATTCAAAGGATGTAATATATTTTGTGACTGGTTATTCAAGGGAAAGAAAAAAGTTGAACAGCACTGTGGTTGCGTAAAAAAAGAGTTTTTTTTAATTAAACTTTTCCCCTCCCAAATTAAAATAACAAATAAACATTTATAAAACACTTGAAGAGGTCAGAATTTCAAGTTGAAAGAAATTAACACAGAACACCATGAGGTCATAGGAAGAATCATAATTCACTTTTATGACCTATCTGAAATTACAACAATTTACAAAAGAGATATTTGGATGAGCACAGTAAGTGCCATTCCCTACTTTTGCCAGAAAAGCACCAAAATCTGCCTTAATGGCCAATATCACATACATGCATTTGAGATGATCTAGCAAATTGGACTAAATTATGAGATTGAAACAATAGCTAGCACATTATATCAAGAAATTGTAGAACATTGAGAGCTGCTTGCTGCGTGGCAGCAGACTCATCTTTATGAAGCCCAGCCTGTATAGTTGGTGGTTCTGTTTCAAGCTGAACAAAGACAATGGATCCTGCAACAGAGAAATTTCTGGATTATGGAACTACCCAAGGTATAGAAAGAAATGGTGATTCGCTAAAGCTCCCAATTAACAGGGGACCCATACACTTTAAGATTTCAGTGACTATCCTTCCTTCAACTTCATTTAATTCACTGTTATTTATACGACTTCTTGAAACAGAAATGAAACTTACTTCCATCCTTGCCTTGTTCTGAGGTTACACAGATCTTAAACTGAAGTTCCTCTGCTATCATTTGTAATTTCTTGAAGGGATTTGGCTCGGTCTTGATTACAGGCTTTGCCTGAAAGTAGAACAGAAGCACAAAATTAGATAAGCAATCAACAAAAGTTGTCAGAGAATTCTAAATCAAAAAGAAAAATTTACCACGATATCTTTGTAGCCCTCCAGCTGTGAGGCAAACTTAAGATGGTAGTCCGCAAATTTAGTTCCTGGACTGATCAACGGTGCTGAGGGAATTTCAGCAATATTATCTCTGAGAATTTTATATCGTTCCACAACTTCAGTATCTGTTTTCTTGTGCTTTTCTAAAACTGAAACAGGCACTTCTTTGTTTTTTTGGGAATACTGCAGCAAAAAGGTTTTAAAAAACAATTAAATTGAAATGGACACAAAAAAATATTACAAGGTTGCAAAATGAATTAACATATGTACCATTGAAGAAACAGCAGGATCATTAGGAATTTCATCTAGAATCGTTTTCATGCTTGAATTGAGAATCTTCAGCATTTCTAGTGCAGAATAGTGCTTTGCAAGTTGCTTTTTGCGTGCGACACCTAGAAAAGTATCAGACACCAATTTTAAAAAGACAGCATAAAATATTAACCCAAAGACATACACAAGCTCAGTTTGGAATCCTCACAAACCTGTCGCACTCCTTTGAGAGACAGTACATTTGTAGGTAAACCGCTTCTCATGTGGCTCTCCTTCATCTCCAATAACTGTGTATTCAGGTGCTGGAAAGCGTTTAGCCATGCACAAATTTTGAAGCTCTCCGACAGCATTCAGTCCACTAGCATCTTCATGAGGGTTTATCCTGCAAAAAGTAAAAATTAATAAAGAACATAATTTACTTTAGAGGGCATATGAGACAGGGCACAATACTCACGGCCCCTTGCTCTGAACAGTAGTAACAGGTCTATCGCTACCATCTGTCAAAGCCTTTTCCTTCAGTTGTTCCAACGCTTTCTTTGCTGCATCATGTTTAGCTGCTTTCTTTTGTCGTCCTCTACCAACTCCTGAAACAACAGCACATACCAGAGGTAAAAAGGGTCACTGGAACTTGCACCAAATGTTCAATCAAATGAGCACCAAACCTTTGATTCCATTGCAGAGGGTAACAGAAACTTCAAACATTGGGTCATTAGAGGGCCCACTGATGTCTGTGTTTTCGTAGAGTGGCGGATTCCATTTTCGCTTCATGCATAGCTCTTGCAAAATAGCAACAGCAGTTTGATTGCAAGTCATTTCTAGAAGAGAGAAACGCAACTATTAGAATTACACATCTTGAATAATAACAATGAAATAAGAATTTTATCACAATGCTGATGAGATATTGAGGAAAGGCTCTAAGTTGTAAGGAGGCATTGGCAAATGTCAAAACAGTCAATCGTACCACTTGCCTATCGCCAAAAGCACAAATGAACGTTGTAGAATTTAGGTCTAAGAGTAGTCCATGCGAGAGGCGAATGTTAAAGCTACTTCCCTACGACTCAAAACGCAAACTGACATCCTACATTACAATTGTATGACACTTTGCGCACAATTGTAACCCTGCACGACAGGAAAATCTTATGTCAACAAAGATATTGGCAGGTGTTTGGCTGTCTCATTCATCATTGAAAGAGACAAAACTAACCTATTTGATACTGATGAAGACTGTCGTCGATTCTTAAAAAAGACGAGCTTCCGAGATATCACATCACCTTTGACAGCGAACAGTTTACAATATCGTGTGAAGTGTGAAAAGGTAAGAGATCATTATTCGGCAAACGTATACAGCAAGAAGAAGAAAAAGTAAAAGAAAACTAAGCCTCCCTCCCTTCCTCCCCACTCCACTACCCACCACCTTTCGGTGAATCCCCGACCCGAGAAAAGTAGAAGGAAAAGTGTCTGTCCTTTTGTCTCACACTTAAAGCCACTGAAACCCAATAAAACGCCTCCCTATTATCATCCCAATGAACACGGAGGAAATTAGTGGAAAGGCAGTAAAATGATGATCCGTTTGACAAGAGAGCATCAACACCAAAACAGCGGCCGCTACAGCGGTAGTGTCAAACAAATAAGAAATGTCACTCACTAGGTCTTTTTGGCAACGACGAATTTCCGTCATCCTGTTTGTTCTCATTCCCGTTTTCATCCAACGCCTCCAACGGTCGTTTCAATGAGTTCGCTTCTTCTGTTCCTTCGTTTGGCATTGTGAATGTGAGTACTAGCGGGCTATTCCTAGTGGGCCTCGAGGATGATCTTTGGATGATCAGTGAAGAATGTTCGAGGATCAAGCTTCCTGGAACATCACGAAATAGCCCGTACTCGACCACGGAAACGCACCTTCAACAGGGCAGAAAGGGAGCCGGTGCAACGACAGAACGCACCACACTGACGTGACCGGACGGGTTGGTGATGCAACAATCAAGATCGAAGGTCAAGACTGGACAAGCTGAGACTCGCAAAATTTACCACTTCTGCCAACTATGGAGCAAGCTAGAGCAGCAAGCAAGAACAGAGAGGTGGTAAGTCAGATGAAGAGAATAGGTTTACCTCACTGACACTTGATCTTTATGCAAAATTTATCCTTTGTTCTGGAGAAGGCTTGCGGTTGGAACATTGCGAAACGTGGAGAACCGTCGTGAAAACTTGAGTGTTGGCAAGGAAGAACTGGGAAGAACTCAAAGAACACACATAAGTTATGCATAATGATTTTAAAACAATGTTTTATTGGTGCAAAAACAGGAGTAGGATACAGAACTTTCTCCATTATGCTAAGAACAAATCTCCTCATCACAGTTGTCAAACATATAAAATAAGCAATAATATCACAATAGTCTTAACAATAAAATCTTTAGTGTCTCGATACTTTTTTAGGAGACCGAATTGATAATTGATTTTTTTAAAAAATGTGTGGGCAATTACAATAAGTCAGCCCATTCCTGAACCTCCGGGCATAATAACAGGGGTATGCATCATTCATTAAGTTTGAAAGTTCTCAAAACCATCAAAATGCCAGTTTCTTTTTTTAACAGATGGTAAAGATAAAGTATTTTTAATCATGTTAACAAGGCTAGAAATCTTTTCATCTTCAATAATTTCATTGAACCAAGAATTATTTTCCTCCAATACCCTCTCTGTAAGGTCACAATGCTCCGGTTCTGAGGATTTCAGCTGAACCATGCCCATCATGGCCCTGATGGCTTCAAAGCACAAGGGTTCCTGCAGAGTTGTAACAACATTGGGATAAATATTTCATTTCAATGCACACAATGCTGTGACAATATAACAACGAATACTTACCATGAATGATGAATAATTTAGATCTCTGTCTTTATCATGAAGAACTTTGGAAATCCTCTCTTTCTGCAACATCAAAGAGACATCATTTTATTCAATGATTAACTCGCAGGTGTGGCTACCAGCAGGAAATAAACTTACGGTCTTGTAAAAATTTGCTGGCTCTTCAACCCCAAGAAATAAGGAAGCAACATGAAACTTGAGCCAGTCAGGATGAAGATTTCTGACATTGATTTCTACATCAGAGGATGCTAAAACGAAATTTGTTTTGGATTAGTTTTATCTTTTTTAAAAGGCAGAAAAAAAAGGCACTGAAGAAAAACAAAAGAAGTAAAAAATACCAACATTTGATTTCAAAATATAACTTATATGCATATGTTCGAGTCATTTGTCCCATTTCAGGGTAAACAGCCATCTCTTTCCTATGCAAAATGGCTGCACAAATAGCAATAACATTCTGTTGAGAAAATTTTGGTATAAATTCTTTAGACCAGACACAAACTAAGACAAGGACCATTAATCAAACACTTACTCCACAACTTTCTTGTAGATTTGGAATCTTGGAACTTTGAGAGTATAAGGAAAATAACTCAAGGACTGATGCATTGACTGAGCCCCAGTCCCCAGTCCAGGTGGATGAACCCCAGAATAATTCACTAATGATGGGACAAACATCTTTCCTGAAGCAGGAGGACATACAGAATTATTATTATTATCATTCCTCAATTGAAAAGCAAAGACAGCTATGATTGAGTAGGGGTTTACCTAAATAAGGCACTTGATTTTTTTTGCCAATGACGGATAGACCACTGAAGGAAGCTGTGTTCCATAACTTTAGAAAAATACTTAAACAAAACACAAAAATGTTGCAATTTATCATCCCTCTTTAAACTCAAATACTTTTTCTTCTTTTCTATGGCTTTTCTCTTAATGACAGAAGTGTAATCATCATGCGATTCTGAATATACAGATTCATTTGTAACTGGTTGTATTTCCTGAAAGACAAAATAAATTAATCATACAAGGGATCACATGAATCGCGGTCTCCAGAGCTAAACAAAAATTTGAACTGATTCCATACCTCCTGGACACCTCCGGAAACACTCGGCTCTTCCTTCAATAAAGCGTTGACCTTCTTCAGGAGAATGCCAAACCAATCTTGGCACATCTATAAAGGAATAAAGTGTCCATTATTTCAACACTGAGTTTGAGACAGAGTAAAAGGATAACAAAATAATCAATATTTCAAGAAAATTTCAACATTTACTTTGAGATAGATGTGGTGCATTCCTTCTTTACACGGAGGGTGAAATTTAAGTAATTTGTACAAAATGGAGACACCCAAATATAAACCTTTAGGTTCCGGTAATTCCTAGAAAGTAAGACAGTCAGTAATAGTAAATACAATATGAAACAAACATATGCAACCAAGAGAAGACAACATACAAATTTCAGTTCTGAGCCAAACAAATATTGTAGCAACAGATTTAATAGAGATGGCTCTAAATATTGTTTATGGCTAACTGTTCGATGTGCCATAGCTCTGAGAGCAAACAGATAAAGATTTTCATCTTCCATCATTGTTTCAAATAGAGCTTTCGACTGCATTGGTGTAGCAACTGATTTGGGCTAAACAGAGACATCTATATTAGATAGCTTAACAATAGTAGTCATTAAAACCACGTTCAAAGAACTTAAAACAACAACCTGATTCCTGTGGGTTTCATAACATGAAGTAAAACTCCTATTGCAAGGGTTTAAACTCTGTCCTTTAAACCCTCCTCTTAGAATAGAATTAGAAATCCTCTTCTTAATTGTTGACAGTTGTAAGCCAAATGTAATTCCTGATTCTGAATTTTCATTTACTAACTTCAGAACCTTTGGATGAGGTTCGCTAACACTGGCTTCTTTCTTCGGGCTTCTCTTCAGAAGATTAACTTCTACACACAAGTCAGGAAGTGTTTGTACATGATTAATGAATATATCGGGGAGGTCTTCATCAGAATCTTCAGCCTTCACTCCTCTTTCATGACTGACATCCTGAAAATCTTCCTCATCTGAATCTTCAATGAGTATTGTAGATGTAGGATATCCTATAGGAGGACGGTAGCTACAAGCGTGTAGCTTGAAACTTTTCCCTGCTTCTTCACTGGATGTAACTTCATCATCAGACCCCAGTATTATGTCTGTGTCATCACAGTCTTCATCATCAGAAGATATAACAATCACTTCCTCACTCCTTAATGCAGGTATTTTTAACATAGACATGCTAGGTACTTTAGTATGTCAATCATGGGATCAGATCATGTACGCTTTACAACTTTAAAAGTTATACTGTCTCGATAGAAAGCGAGGTTAGTCCACTGCAATTCACTTTGAACTCGGAGAGTTAAACATTATCATTTCATCAAACCAGTGTATAAAGTCTAAGAAACCAAAAATATGCCACAGACAATATGTAATTTGCAAGATTTATCCGTTGGACTGGTTAAAATCGAAATCGTCTCGGCTCAGCACACGCCAAACACAAACAACGTTCAACCCAAAATTACAGATACAGTGTTTTGTTCTGCCTTTGAGCAGACCAGAGCAGACGATGTTGTGATCGACAATATATTTACGTGCCCATTAGAGTGTAATCTTTGAAAACTTAGCGCCGCTTGCACGTTTTTAATTGTGTGAATATTTAGCTTTGACTTAAATTATTAATTTCGCAAAGACGAGTTAAAAAGAAACCGACTTTTTTTTTGTTTCTTCTTGTTGGTAATACCAATCCGTTCGATGGGTTGCCTACCACCACGGCGCTTGGGCGCTTGGCGCTTGCGACACTTCGAGGATGCTCGTGCTCGAGCGATGGTAAAGGTCTTTCAAAGTAAAGGGCGTAGGTTTACCAAGAAATTCTGACGAAAATACGAAGAGAATATTTGTAATTTATTTCTAGGGATCACAGTAAGAATCTACAGAAAGAAGTACACAACATAAATACCAGGATAAAAAGACAGTGCGTTCACACAATCAAGGATTTTAGACTTTAAATCACTCAACAGAAGTACTCATTAACTTAAGAAACATGAGAAAACAATCAATTTTCAAATAAAATTTGACACAAAACCTTAAAAAAATTATATGGTTCTAAAAAACCGTCATGCCTTTATGTTAAAAGTCCGACTACAGAAAAATCTTCTACCAAAATGCTTCAATGCAACTCAATGCTTAATACTGTGAGGCCATAACACATCCACTTTCAACAGCAACAATCTCAAAAGGCTGTGGGTTGTTCACATGCAGACCAATGCACTTGTTTTAATGGAAAGACATACTGAATCTTTCTTAAAATATCAATACATCTTTTTCACACATGCAAATTAATAGTGCCAAGTCACACATGATACATAAAACATGACGTAATAATTATTTCTAAAACTTATTAACACACTCTTCAAGTATAAAATACAAAACATCAACTATTGCCATTCTTCATGGACGGACTGAAATTATTTTTGGTTGAAATTAACAAAACAAAACGTTCAGTCAACAATAATAAAAGTCAATCAAAAACACAAATATACTACAATCAGCATGAAAACCCATTCACATGAAGACACAATGTCAACAAGTCAAGATGAATTAAGATTCAAGACAGATAATGACGTGGGGTCAAAGTTTACTTCCACACACAGAGTGCCGCGAAATGAAATTAAGTTGGATCACTAGAAAGGTCAAGTGTCGAAGGTCAACAACGATGAGGAGATATCAGATACACATTCAATCACAACTTTCATTCATGAACACTGCTTCAAAACAGAATAAGACATTGAAAACAATTCTGCACTCTTTACAGCCATTTAAAATGGAAAGGAGAATCTCATGAGGTCAGAAAATACTATCCCCTTCTTGAAACCACACAAAAGATGATTTTCAACACATTAAACTGTGCACACTGAACTAAGATATATAAGACAAAGTAGCTGTCAATCAAAGACAGAGCTGTGATATGAGGACAAGAAGCCATACGACATTTCAAAGGAAATTATGTTTTCTCAATATGAGACAAACTACATAAATACAATCTGATAAAATACTGGATTGATGTAACAATGTGATGAGCTTACAGAACAAACACTAATGGCCAGGACTGATCTAGGACTGGTTTTGTTGTAACAGCTTGAGTTTTCTTCAAAAATTATTTACAATCAATAAATAACTTAAAAAGAAAATGACTTAAATATTAAAATGATTAACTAACATAACAAATGCATGATTTTCTGGAAAGGGCTAGGTGCTGGGGAACAATTTGTGATGTAATAAAACATATTAATTGACAGCATTACTTACCTTAGTGCTAAACAACCCCACACTAAACATAACATTTAATTGCACGTAGCTGTCAAGCAACAGTTAACAGAACAATGATATTTACTGGACCAAAATAAGATATTCCAAAAACTAAAGTACTATGATGTAAATGTGGTCAATAATGGTTCAGTTCAATTTAAATTTTGTTACACAAACACTTATATTTGGGCTTTGCTACCCCATACCCGGTTTGGGCTATTGCGGGATAGTCGTTTTCCTATAGTTTGTACAATGAAGCCTATGCTCTGCAGTTTCTGGTGATCCAAGATTTTTCGTCCATCAAACACGTAAGCTGGCTTCATCATACCCTCATAAATGCGCTGATAGTCCAAGCTCTGAAATAAGAGAAGCATCTTGTTATCAGATTGACAGTTTCCACCCAATTGTGTCAAAGTAGATTCAGAATGAAACTCACAACAAATTCATCCCACTCTGTACACAGCACAATAGCATGTGTTCCAGCAGTTGCTTCATAAGGGTCAGAGTGAATGGTCAAAGACTTTCTCACATGTTCCGGTTCCTCAGTCACCTGAGGATGTGTCAGGTCTTCCAGAATTTGACTGTGCTCCACCTGACAAGAAAAAAGATAAACCGGGATAATTTTATCACAAATGGAAGTTTGACTTCATGTATGATCACATCATATAGGTGGTTGACCAGTTAAGCAGTACCTTTGGGTCATAGACATGGAGCTTAGCTCCTTCATCAAGAAGAGTCTTTGCTACATCTATGGCAGGGGACTCACGAGTATCACCAGTATCTTTCTTGAAAGCAAAACCCAGAAGTGTTATCCTCTTGTCAGTCACTGTGTTAAATAGGGATTCAATTACTTTAGCTGAGAAACGTGACTTCTGATAGTCATTCATATCAATAACCTGAAATAGGAGAATCGAATATGAATAATAGTTTGGTACAAGTATAGAGACACGGCTACAACACAAACAAGTAGAAGAAATATTTAGATGACTCTTACTTGTTGCCAGTAAGCAGCAACTTCAGGCAGATTAAGGCCTTCACAGATGTAAACCAAGTTGAGGATGTCTTTCTTGAAGCAGCTTCCACCAAATCCTAGATAACCAAAAGAGGGGAATAAATGAATACACAATGAATGTATCAAAACATTTCATAGTAGTCACCATAACCCTCACCAATTGATGCTTGTAAAAACTTGGGCCCAATGCGGGAATCCCAACCAACAGCACGGGCAACCTCCGATACATCAGCTCCAGTTGTTTCACAGACAGCTGAGAGTGAATTAATACTAGAAATTCTTTGTGCCAAGAATGCATTAGCAGCCTGTTATTTTATTGTTTAAAAAAAAGAAGAAGAAAAATTAATCAGAAATATGAGGGAATTCCTAAAGTTAAAAGGGGCATAGCAGAAACAAACCAGTTTTGATAGCTCCGAGGACCAAGTGTTGGTGGTTAGAATATTTTTGCGTGGTAACCATCTTTCATACACCTTACAAAGTTCTTCAATAGCAGCATGACCCTCAGCACTGTCCTCTCCACCAATAAGTACCCGGTCAGCATAGAGAAGGTCATTAATTGCTGTCCCTTCTGCTAAGAACTCAGGGTTTGATAATATCTGGAATTATGAACAACATGAGATCAACAGTACCAAATTAAAACAATTATTGATATACTTTTTTTACCACAAGACAGGATTTAAAAAAAAAAAAAAAAAACTTAAACTTACCTGGAATTTTACATTAGGTTTGTTAAATGTGTTTGCAGTCAAAATGTTGCTGATACTTTCAGCTGCTCGCACAGGCACTGTGCTTTTCTCAACAACGATTTTACTTGAATTAGCTACCTCAGCAATCATCCTAGCAGCAGATTCGACATACTTCAAGTCAGCAGCACGGCCCTAAAAAAAAAAAAAGAGTTAAGGGAAGGTGGGGACCCATGTATCACTTTTTTTTGTTTTGAGTGTCAAAATTTTGGTTTTGGGCATAAACTAAATGTTTTGGGTCAGAAGCGTGAGTTAATCTTCCTTCTACAAGTGCCAACTGAATTTGTTCATGTATCTCATCTGGTTTTGCAAAGAAGCGCAATCTACTAAATTCGTGTATTTGATACATGGGACCCCATACCTGGGGTCCCATGTATCACCCATGGGGACCCATGTATCACAGCTATTTTCTTCAAAAATAACTTTTAAAAGAGGACAAATTATGCAACATTTCCTTGCAGCATTAATTTCTACAATATGTTTATAAGTTTGACCGAGTTTGACCATTCCTAAGGTAAGTTGAGGTCAAAGAGAGAAGGTGAAGATTCATGTATCTCAAGTGGGGACCCATGTATCACAGGTGGGGACCCATGTATCACTCAATTTTTGGTATTTGTTTAATGGCAAAATGTAACTTAACTGTAACACCTGTCGCCTGTCACTCTATTATAAAATTGCAATGATTACAGCACAGGCATTAAAACAGGAAAATTTCAGTGATTAATTGCCCTCCAACATGAAATTTGAGTGATACATGGGACCCCAAAAAATGTGATACATCGGTCCCCACTTGTCGGAGCACTGGACATTGCGGTGTGCTGCCAGAACCTATGCTCGGATGTTGCTGTTCGGCACTGCTAATTGTTGTCAAAGCCCTTCCGCACACTCCCACATCAAAAAATTGCGACCATGTTCCACAGCAGGAAGCTGATGAAAGATGTTTGAAGAAATTTCTTTTTTACTTTCCCTCAGTTTTGGGGACCAAAATTTTCACTTAGTCACGCCGCCATGCTTGTTGGAGATGCAAGGTCACATCCTTTCATAAAATGAAGCTCTCTAGATCGTGTTTCGATTCCGCACCACGTGACTCGCCTCGCGGGCGAAACTGAAATTAAATACGCCGTGATACATGGGACCCCGTGATACATGGGTCCCCACCTTCCCTTACTGTAGGCTTGTACATCTCTCCATGCAGTAGGTTACCACCAATTTCATCTGTATAGCTTGGATAATAATGTTACCAACCTTTCCATTTCCAAATGTCTTTGTTGGGGTATTGACAGAAATGAAGATGAGATCTGCTTCTTTGATAGCATTATCAATATCAGTGGAAAAGAAAAGATTTTCACCTCGGCGTTGCTTTACAACATCATAGAGACCCGGCTGGAATAGATAAATTAGAAACATTAGGACAACAAACAAAAACTAAATTAATTAAACAAACAAATATTTATACGATTTTTAAATTGATTTTTTTACCGAATAACTTTTGGCATGAGAAAAATAAAAGAGTAGAAAGTTCTGTCTATTTGTATCATTTGAAGTCTTACACACCTCATATATAGGGAGCTTTTCTGAGTTCCATTGATCAATTCGTTCTTGACTTTTGTCCACAACTGTCACTTTAATATCAGGACATTTGAGAGCAATGACGCTGCATGTAGGACCTCCGACATATCCAGCACCAATGCAACAGATCTTCTGAATTGGCATGGTTACCTGAAACAAAAAGACCGAAAAAGGGAAGCTATAGGTGCCCTTTTCTCAGACAGCAAGAGGTAAAAGTGAATGCGAAAAAACACAACGTTATATCTAGAATAAACATAACTTAAATCTTATACTGACTAGACTTAGGACCTTCTTGTCTTATCTATTTGAGGACTGCCGACATTCATGATAATGAGTCTGACGGAGACATTTCCTTTTCTCACTGTTCTATAAATTGATAAGGAGTAGTGTACGCAGTACTCTTCCAGTAGCTGAGCTCTTGAGCAGCCACAGTATTTGAAGACAGGACAAGAACTCGTACATAGCAACAGCAATTTGAAAATGTTAAAAGTGTCTCTCATTTAAACGGGAGCTTTGGAAGATAATGATAAAAATGCAAAGTGGCCATTCAAGACCTCAACCAGAAACCAGAGCACTAGCCAGAGAAAGTCTCAGCAAAAACAGTCCAGTGATAATACGAATCGATTCCAGGGCTCAATGTGCTAAGAAAAGCGTAAACAAACTAATACATGCAGTTATCCTCAGCTATTCAGTCAGCATCACAGAACAAACAAGGCCAAACTTCACACTTTGACAGCATAACCTAAACCACTGTTGTGGCCAATTTCTGTGCAAGATTAATTCTGCGCTCACGCGTAGCGACTGAGACAAATCACTCGTGTTTGCTCGCAGTTACCTTCTCTAACTCTGTCGCGGGACTGTCCTGATCGAATGCCTCTTATTTCCTCATGAAATCATCGAAGACGGTTTCCTCAATCCCTTTCCCTTATCGTGTCGTCTGCACCTGCGCTGCCAGCTCAGTCGGCAGTCGGCATCAGGGGAAGGGGGAGGGGGCGATGTTCGCGTTGGTTCGCGTGGCGGAGAGAGGCGGAAGGGAGGGGGAGGGGAGTCCACAAGCGCGGCACACCCGCACACGCACGCAAGATTCCCGCTCGAAACTCGAAACCCATTTCATTTCCACGCGTGCAGGTCCTCACTGCTCTGTGGGAATGAAACAGTTTTACGGACCGATTCGGTTTACGACTTGGACCACAACGGGCAGGAAGCGGAAGAGCACAGCACTGTGCCCGTCAGCCCGATAGGCAACCCAGAGGACATTCCATTTTCTTATTTTCCCATCGTGCAGCATGCGGTGTAACTAGCAATGTGAAAACTGCCTGCAGGGCAAAGTGCAACTTTCTGCCCGCCAAACTTCCTGAGGGGGAGGGGGAAGGGGGGGGGGCTCAGACACATAGGGCAGAGGAGGACGAGGGGGAGGTATCCGCGGTTATTTGCCGAGGACCAACTCTAGCTTTCGCAAGATGCTCTCCAAACTCCACGCTGGCCTTCCCTGATGCTGGAGCATTCCTACGCCGGTTAGAGTCCGAGGGGAAGAGGGAAGGGGCTCTCGCGTCTTCAAGGCCAAGGGTCCCTGGCAGGCGGGCTGGCTGCTCAGCGTCTGCTGCTAGGCCCTGTTAAGCCCTGCTAGACCCTTCCCGCCAGCGACCACGCATTCACCAGCAAGCCTCCGTCGCTCTGTCTCTCTCGCAGCCCTTGGGGGCGTCACATGAGTGCAAGAGAGACAGCGACGATAGCGTAAGGACGTCTGTATCGCGCAGAAGACAAACAGTCGTGTTTGCAGAATGCTGAATGTCGCATGTCGCCACGCACGCCGAGCTGCTTGCGCACCTGTGGAAACACCGTGGAAACACAGGCAGTCTGCGCTGGCCTACGCCAGAGCAGACTACTTGCGTGGCGAGGCGCATCGGCAATCGATGAGCAAAGCCACACCGGCATGAACACACAAGGGAAGTCAGCGATGGCTAGCGCAGCCCGCGCTGCGACGCTGAGCCTCGAATGTCCACCGATAACAAGTGCAGGTGACAAGTTTAGTGGTCGTCCTACGTCAAACCGCCACTCACTAATACTCTTCATGATCGTCATTATGCTCATGTCTCTGGACGTCACTCCTTATCACTGGCGTGGCCAGATTGCGCCGAAGGCGAGGAAAGAAAGAAGAAAAGGGGGGGGGATCAAAAATTGGCTACCTAATCTCCTCAGTAGGTATCGCTCATTCGCGTTCTGAGTTTACGCCAGTTAGGAGGCGCATCCCAGCACTGCTGTACTTACGTACTTCAACGCGGTGCTGCTAGTTTCCTTATCGGCCGCCTGCTATCCCTGCTCTTCAGTTTGAACGTTGAAAGTTTGGTTCGCGATTTCGACCGACTCAAACTGAGTTCTGCTGGAGTCACCCACACCTTGACTCTGCTTATGGTAGTGCTACCTTGCCGGAGATGCAGATGACCTCGCGAGTTGGTGTCTGATGACTTCACGCGGCGGCACCAGTGACGCGATGTTCCTCGGAGGCCGAGTGCAACGCGGAAAGTGATGGAAGTAGTCGCAGCAGACTCAGTGGCGGTCGAGCGGTCTCTCCAGTGACTCCAGAGGCAGGGGCCGAAGTCGCTTGACGTTCCGTCTCCGAGCGCTGGGCGAAGACTGGTGGTGGGCTGGTTCTGGGTTGGTAGCTGGGAGCGGCAGCGGGGCGACGCCCGGGGGCCCGGGGGTCGGTCTGCTTGGTCTGCTCTGTGTGCCCGGACGCTAAGCCCCGCAGGGGAAGGGGGAGGGGGAGCGCGGCGACGCAACTGCCAAAGCCGCCGAAGCGACGCACGACGACGAGACGACGTCGACGGGTCGTCCTGTCCTGCAGATGCCACGCCGCTCGGCGCTGGAGGCAAAAGGTTTCACACAAGCAGCAAAAGGACGGCCCTCCCTGGCCTTCCTCGGCCCCTTCACGCCAAGCTCCACGCCCTGCTGCCCTGCCTGCGTCCCTGCGTCTCGCCAAAAGCCGAAAGGGCGCACCAACCGGAATGGAGACGGCGGCGTCGTCGCCATGGAGGCGACTCTGGCGCCAAGCCTCTGGCGCCAACGCGCAGGGAGCGGTCGGATTCCGACCGGTGCCTTAGTCCGGCTTTAGTGCTCGCCGCTGTCTCTCTGGCACTCATGGGGATCCGCCTGCAGGGAGTGCGACGGCTCGTCATGGGGTTTTGGCGCAACAGCTCACTTGCGAGGGTTTTTCCCCCAAGAGAGGAAGGTGTATTTCCCGGTACTGTAAAATCTAATCAAGAAAAGTACGCGCGCGAGCGGCACAAAATTTCAATCTCAGTAACGTTTAATTATGCTGTAAGTGCCATGCTGAAGCCGAAGTGAGGTGGGGGGGGGGAAGAAGGCGAGCGCCTCAGAGGTTGATGAGCCTGAGCGTGGCGCGGCGTGGCGCGGCGTGGCGCGGCGTGGCTGGGGTCACGGACAGAAGGGGTTCCAGCGCTCCGGCGGCCCGAGGGGCGTGGCGGGGCGTGGCGGGGCGTGGCAGGGCGGGGCGAGGCGAGGCAGACGCACTTCGACGAAGCCAAGCATTTGCGGCATGCAGTACGACAGACGCGAGACCCTATTCCGCGCGCCACGCCCGCCACGCCTCGTCAGGACTGCGGCCGGATGTGGCTGGCTGGCTGGGCTGCAGTGTTGCCGCAGAGAGCCCGGCACGGCTCGGCGAGGCGATACGAGTGGACCTGCTTTGTAAGGACTTGCTCAGCAGCGGCGGATTTTGGCTGGAGCCGGCTGACTCGAGCCGCTAAGGTCTGCATCATAGGCCCAGCAGCGCTGATGATGGCCTGAGGGCAAAGTAGTGCGTTTTGTCTGCAGTGTGCCCCTTTGCCTAGCTCAGTCCAAATGCAGTGAATGAGCACGAAGCCTGCAAGCCTGCTTGGCCTGGTCGTTACGTAACAGCCGTGGGTGAAAGCTTAGTAGATGGTCTTCTATGCTCCCAAGGTCGTTAGGTTTGGAAGTGTCGGAGCGCCCTTTCCCCCTCCCTCTTCCTTTTTGAGTCGTTGCGGGCAAAAGACGAGGAAGGTAGTGTACCGGCATGTGCGACTTAGCAGTGTAGCGACACTTTTCAGGGCGTACACGTTTCAGTCTTACGCTTTTGTTCCTTGAATTATGTTTTGCGGTATACTCCGTGCCGTCCGTGTATACTCCGTGCTACATAGCCCCCCCCTCCCCCCGCGCGCATGGGCTTTCCCTCTCGCAGGTCCGGGTCTCCGCCGCCAGATGGCGTCGTGCTGCGAAGGCGGTTCGCGGATTGTAAAATTGCGGATTGCCAGTTTGCGCGTGTTGCTGTGCCGCTGCCGAGGATTTATTTCAAAGATAGGAACTACTGGTTTGACGCGGTGGCGGAGTTCAGGACGTGCGTGCCATGGCGCCGCGGTGCGAGCTCTGGCAGTGTGGCGTCCGCGCGCTGCCGCACGCGAGCGACCACGGCCGCCGACTTGACTTGTCTGGGTCGCAACTTTTCTCTTCATACTTACCTGGCTCAGGAGTTAACCGTGATCACCAAGGCGGTTCTCCCAGTGCGAGGCCTCTCCATTGCACTTCGGTGGGGCTGACCGCTGCGAGTATCCCAAATGTGGATACCTCGGGAGTATAATTTTTGATAGTCGGGACTGCGTTCGCGCTGTCCCGGAATAATTACACACAAAATTCTCTTATCTGAGAGGGAAGTTTGGACGGGTATATCACTTCTCGTGTCTATTTACGTCGTACGGCTCAGCTGTGAGCGTTGCATAGGAAATAGCAATCCATACTGAATGATGTGTGAGGGTCTACAGCTTACAGGTGCCCTGGTGTGTAATCAAAACGAATTTCATTTGGTGGGTCGCGCAGGTACAAGGTGCCCACAACCTTCCCCTAATTTAAATGAAAATTTTCAGAATTTTTCACTCTTGAACAATTTTTCCATCTTTTTCAAATTGTGCTAAGTGCTTGGGGTGTTAGACTTGACCAGGTAATGTAGGTTGGATGTCAGCCAAGGCATGACTATAGTTTGAATCGTTGGAAAGGAGAAATGAAACAATGTGTAAGTACAAATACAATGTTTTATTGATTGTCTATCAACTACATGTAACAGCTCCACCCGAAATTTCAGGCCTACCTAACCGAATCACTATCTAGCATAATAAAATAAATTCAGTACTTTTTACACTTTGTCGAATGTCAACACAAAGAACTACATACATCATCAACTCAAAAATTAATTAGCTCACCTTCATTGTAGGCAGCTTATTATGAATAAGTGACATTCCAGTATTGTCAAAAAACAGTTCTTTCAGATACTGTAAATCATCAGTAATATGCAAGTTAACCTTTGATGTGATATGAACAGCAGGTATGGTCAAGAATTAATTAATCAAAGGAGATTTACAGGGAAGAAGAAAAAAACTTCTTAAGCAGAGCTAAATGGAAGCACTGGAAGATCACCCATAATGAGAAATGCCTCCCAATAATCACAATTTAAAGCAGTGATGACATATTTTAAATTAAAATAAAAGTTTAAATAACTTTCTAACAATATTTATCACAAAGTAAATAATTTACAGACATGTTCACGACATGAAATAGTATGAATATACAAAATTATTCAGTTCTTTGACACAATGGCTGAGGCTGACAAACCAGAACAGCAGCAGAGATTCTTAACAAAAAGAGATTGCAAAGAACTTACTAAGAAAAGGAAGGCTTGAATCTACTTCAGAACTCTTTTATCAAACAAATGAGAAAATTAATTTTAAAAGAAAACAAACAAAACAATGCATATTTGCAAACTGCTTCCTCAGAAAAGGAGGACGACAATCCATTTTGAAACTAAATGCAAAATAAAATAAAATAGAATGACATAACGGTAGCACATCAGTCGGCTCTCTTACTGAAAAGAGGCAGATGAAAATTTGCAAGATGACAGGAACAAATTACATAAACAATTCCCCCACAATCTCATTTTAGGTAATTGTTATTACAATAAGCCAAAATTGCAACTGACTTAATAGATTCTGATTAAAAGATGCAATATGGCAAAAATATTTTGTTTTAAGAATAAAAAACATTGATTCAGAGTGATTCACTATAACATACAATCACTCACATAACTACCCAATCATCTGGTCTTCTTTTGATAATATTTGTACTTTAAACTTCAAGTCAACCTTGAAAATCATGCAGGTAAAAATGGTTTCTTTGAAGTATCTCTCATCAGAATAAACAACATGACAAAACAGTACTGTTTCAATGGCCAGCTATGTTTCAATAAATGGAAAATACTTCAAGTGGTCTTTTGGTACATTTGTTTCTTAGACAGAACAGCATTGAAAAACAAATAAACAAACAAAAAAACAAAACCAAAAGAAAAAGTGGTTTTTAGCCAAGCACCCTTATCAATACATATTTGTACGAAAATGCAATTGACTTACATCTGCGGCAGAAAACTAGGTTTGTGAGTGAGAAGTATGGATGCAGCAAGGATGATACTGAATCAAACATGATAGAAAACTACACTTGACACAAAACAGATATAACAAAAACATACCTTCCAGTTCTAAAAATCACAAGTGCAAGAGTTGCCTAGTTTTGTATCTTTATGTACACAGATGCTGTCTGTATTAACTCGTCAAATTTGACAGAGAAGAACAATGATGACACCTCTGACGCATAGTACAGGCTATTTTCATCTAAATCTATCCTATTACTTTGTACATTTAAGTAAAAAGATATATATAAATGTATGTACAAAATGGCATTTTATAAAGATCTTTTTAACAATCAACTCAATGCAAACACTTGATTATTATTACTCTGATTAACTTTTGTTGAACATCAAGTCTTGAAAAACTTTTAAGTTCAACATTATTTTCAACTAAGCAATGATTACTACTTGGCAGCAGTTACCTTGTGACCAATACAATAGTGAGATCTTCATTACACCAAAGAATGATAGCACACGAGTCGTGATTTATTAACTAAAGAAATGCAGTTCAGCAGCACACATGATCAAACTAGCAATGTCAGGCAAAATTACAGACAAACAGCACCAATGAGCACTGAATCATTTCCAATCAATGTTGGATTATATTGAGCACTTATTTTGAATGAAACAATAAATAAATTTCAATGACAGGTTCTGTTGTAATATATTTGTTGGTGCAGTGCTGAACGAGCAAAACACACAAATTCGGCAACATCAAGAAAGGCACTAAAATGGCAATTCCTACTCATGTGTATAAATAAATACATTGTCCTTTCCCTGATAAAAATGGGAATAAGGGGCAAAAAGGAATCTAAATATAAATAGCTTCAGACTTTGGATGCTGACTGGACTGTGGACAGGCATTGGGGCTGGAAATTCCCTCTGACCAGTCCGAGTTTGACAGAGGTGAGGACGACGACCAGTTCCACGGTGATTCCGGGGAAGGAGTTGGGAAATTCTCAGGAGCCTGGATTTGAGGCTGGTGCTGAGGCGTGCCGTCTGGGCCTAGGTGCGCCGAGTGCTGAGACGGCGGCGTTAGGTATTGGGGGTAAAAATTTGAGCTCTGCTGTTGCTGCTGCTGGAGCTGCTGCAAACTCTGCTGCTGTTGCTGCTGGTTCTGCAGGCTGTACGCTGCCAGCTCGAAGTCGAAGCTCACAGGCTGCTGCCCAGTGGTGGGACCGTGCTTCTGGTGGGTCGCGGCGCGTAGCGCGGCGTAGTGGGTGGGCGAGGTGGGGAGGGACGGTCTTGACTTGGTGGGCGAGGGCGAGCTGAGGTAGCTGGCGGGCGACAGGCTCATGTTGATACTGTGGGGTGGGCTCTGGTTGTTGGAGTAGGGCGGCGACAGCGTGCTGGGGTGCTGCAGCTGTAGAGGCTGAGGCTGGCCCAGCGTTACGCCCAGCGTGAGGGGCAGGCCTCCGCCTCCGCCCCCGCCGGCTTGGCGGCCGTGCGGCGGCAGCCCGAGCGACGTTTGCTGGTCGTGAAAGCTGGCTACACCATAAGGACCTGCAATCAGAGTCAGAGGCACAGCGGGTGAGAAAAGGAGACAAGAGAATGTCGCAGCTTTCAGTTTCGGTACCAAATAAGATTCAAAATGAATTGAAAATGCTACGTACTGTTGTAGTGATCCAATGGATCAACCCGATCCATGTTGTCTAGCTGCTCTAAGTGGATGCTTTTGTAGGTGTCTTCATAACTTGGCGGCTGTTTCACCTGGCCACTCATTAGGCTGCCATACATCTGTCCACTCTCGTAGTCAGGCATGCCAGGTGACTGCCCTGGAGATAGGGCGAGCACGCTTTCTACACTGCGCACTCCTTGGTCCTGTAGAAAAATAAGATGACAAAAATGAGACAAATTGAAAAATTGACGCTCTACCGTTGTGTTTTTGTAAGAGAACTGACCATATTGTGAGATGGACTCGCTTTCTTTTTCTTGACACTAGGTTTCCTTCTCACGGCAGCAGCACCATTGTTATTGTCCATGTCTGGACTTGTAGGATTGTTGTTGGGACCATTGCCATGCATGGAAGACTTTGGTCTCTTCTTTGACTTGGTTGTTTTGGCCCCAATTACTGTTGGCTGGCTGATGAGGTGATGCTGACTACCAGGGGAAGCTACACAAAAGAAAGGTTGAGAATTAGATGGTGATATGCTTCAAGTGTAAAAATAAAATGTCAAATGTAATGCAAATTAAATAGAAAATCTCATATAACACACCTTCAGCATTGCCTGGTCCCAGCAATGGGCCACTAGGAATGACTGAAACAGGATGTGGGCTCCGCGGCACATGGTCATTGAGAAGTCTTACAATATCATGGTGTAATCTCTCACTTGCCACATCCTTGGGCAACCTATCCATGTGATCAGTGATTTCTCTATTGGCAAAGCTGTCCAGCAGTGCTTTGCATGCTTCATAACTGCCTTCACGAGCGGCTAAGAAAAGAGGTGTCTCCTCCTATTGAAAAAAATTGGAATAAAGAAACAAAAAAATTAATAAGATATAATTGGTGGTAAAAATTTTGTAGGACACATGATATGAACTTATTGGCACTAACCTTTTCATCCTGAGCATCTCTGTTGGCGCCATGGGTCAACAAGATGTTGACAGCATCCACATTGTTGACGGAAGCCGCCCAGTGAAGGGCGGTCTTGCCTGAATTATCCGCAGCATTGATATCAGCATCAGCGTTGATGAGATCTTCCACCATTCCTTCAATTGCTAGACGGGCAGCCAAAATCAATGGAGTTGTCCCATCATGCATACGGGCATTCAGGTTTGTAGCTCGGTTGCGCAAGAGAATCTAAAAGTGAACAAAAGTAAAAATACCATAAGTATCCTGAAACGACAAGAATGAAGAAAACAGTCATTTAGAAGGGGAAGGGGGTCTTGCCTGGAACACTCCCATGGCATCAGCAGCTACAGCTGCATGAAGAGGGGTCCGTCCAGTGTTGTCCTGAGAGTTTGCATCGGCTCCAGCATCAAGCAGTCGCTTAGCAGCATCAGCCCTGGCATAACGGGCTGCTAAGTGCAAGGAGGATTCTCCAGTCTTGTCCATTGTGGCATTAAGGTCAGCACCTTGTGCAACTAAATCTGCAATGGCCTGGCAATTGTTTTCTTCATCTTCTTCATCACCAGTATCCAGGCCACCTCCACGCACAGCTGATGCAGAGGCTGCGACCATCAGGGGAGTCATGCCACATGGCCCTCGTGCATCCACATCACAGTTGTTGTCCTATGAAAGATAAAAGATGAATTATTCCCATTATTCGCAAAACTTAAAAATAGATGTAAGAAAATGTGAACATTGAAGTACTGATACTAACCATTGGAGGCGTCATAATACCAGCATCGGGGCGTCGAATATCTGCCGCATCCAAATGCAGTTGGGTCCACATACGAGGTTCAGCTTCTTCATAATCAGTGACAACTGTGTGATCTGATGCATAACCACCACCCATGTCACCACGCATCCGTTTCGGAGGTGGCAAATCACTCTCGTCATCTGACCAGTGGCTTTGAGCCATCATGTTGCCCATGCTGCCCATGCCTGGGACCATTCCGTGAGGAGGAAGCTCCATGTCAATATGGCCCATTGAGGCTTGTTTACTACTCAGATTGCGCATCTCTTGTCCATCAGGTCCACGCCTCCTAGAGCGTCTGCGCTGCCCACTGTTGTTGCGTAAAAAGCCTTCGGGGAACCAGGTGATGCCAGCAGCCTTCTTGCGTTGGGCAGTTACCAACACACCAACAAACATGCCACACAGACATACCAGCATTACCCCCACAAGAACATATTTGGCATTCGCAGGTTCTCCTATTTCCGGGTCATCGCCTGAAGGAACCCTTTTGATTTTGTAGATGGGGAAATCTTGTGACAGAGCCATTTTAGATGCTTTGGCAGCAAGGAACTCAGCAGCTTCAGTAGCTGAGTTGAAGCATTCCGTGTCTGTCGATGACAAACAACGCCTGTTGTCCAATTCGAAGTATGCAATCACTCCTGACCTCAAGTTGATGTCTCCAGATAATGGGTTCATATCCCAGGAGTAAATCATGTCATTTCCCATATCGTCCTGTTTGACTCTTACTGTCGTCTGAAGCTCATGTCCCAAAAGACGCAGGAATGCAATGAGATTGGTCCGGAAAGAGTGCATGTCCATCCGCAGAATGATGGAGAAGGAGCCTTGTGCAAGTTTAGGAGGTTCCTTTTCACAGTCCATACCATCCCAATTGCATTCTGCAGTGTTGCAGTGCTCATCACAAATACCGTTGGCATAGCGCTTCTGACAGAACTTGTCGTAAATAGGGCTGCAAGGCTGGAATAAGCGACCACAATCATACCCATCAAACAGGCAGCCTGCATTGTTGCAGATTGGGTCACAACGACCGTTGGCAAATACTTGAGAGCATCTTGTTGGACTTGAGCAGTTGAGCCAAGGATCAATGCCATAAGAGCAGTCATTGCCGTCAAACTGACAAGCGTAGCTGTTACATTCTTGATCGCATTTGCCATTGCCTGCTTTCTCTACACATCCCTGGCACTTATCGTCAATGTCTAATTCCAGGCCACCTTTGAACTTGCCAACAGGGCGGTAAACACCTCCTTGGAACTTGGGGTCATATCTTTCACAATTTTTACCAGCCCAAGTGCGAGGACAGTTGCACAGGTAGTCTCCGATGAAATCCTGGCAAGCCCCACCGTTCTGACAGGGATTGCTCTCACACTCATTGCGGCTGTCCAGCTCACAGTGATGACCGTAGGATCCTGTAAGAAGAATTTCGTGTGCTCAGCAAAAATTACAAAGAGAAGATCTGGGGAATCTGGCTGATTTGAACTCCATTCATATCATCAGTAAATACATAGAGATTGGCAGAAAAAGTGTCTTACCAGGTAAACATTGACAGAGGTAGCCACGTCCACTGGTAGGCTGTCTACAGGTACCACCGTTCTGGCAAGGGTTGGAGTCACAGTCGTAGCCAAAGAATTCACAATTGGCACCCGAATATCCTTCTGGACACTGGCAAGTATGACCTGATTGGTGCTGTTGGCAAACTCCACCATTTTGGCAAGGTGAGCTTTCACAGAAGTTGACCTGCAATCAAATTTGATTATTAGATTTATTATTGGCAATAAGGTGAAGACGTGCCTGAGACAAGTTCAGAGGGTAACTCTTACCTCAGCTTCACAATGGCGACCCATGTAACCCGGCTTGCAGTTGCAGAGATAATTATTTACGAGCTGCACACAATCTTGTGTTCCAGGGCTGCGACACGGGTTAGACAAACATTCGTTGATGTCTCCTTCACACCGTGGGCCAACAAATCCTGGTGGACACTTGCATTCGAATCCACCCACTTTATCGACACATGTGCCATTGTTGTGGCATGCTCCAGGATGGCAGTCATCTACGTTGATCTCACAAATTATACCCAGCGTTCCTGAAAAACGAATAAAATAAAATAAATAATAGTAATTTTTTTTTCAGTTTCTGTAGAAATGAGGGGTTTGAAAACAAACCTGGAGGGCAACTGCAGCGGAATTTATTGATGAAATCATGGCAAGTTCCTCCATTTTGACAAGGGTTGGGGCGACAGTCATCGACATTGAGCTCACAGTTCTGCCCTTGGAATCCCTTGGCACACTGACAGTTGTATGAGCCCACCAGGTCCTCGCAGGTGGCCCCATTCTGGCAGGGAGCAGATTCACACTCGTTGATCTCCTTCTGGCAGTAGCTGCCCGTGTAACCGTCCAAGCAGCGACAGCGGTGGCTGTTGCCAATGTCTTCACATGTTCCGTTGTTGCAAAGACGGTCCCTGTGCACACCTGGAGGGAAAGGAAAAAAGAAACAAAATTAATCACATTGCTTTTCAATCAAAAAATGTAGGGAAAAAAATGATTAAACATTAACAGTTGAGCCAGGATTTGAACCCGGGGCTGGCCGCTGGCCGGGCCCTGACTTACCTTTCCGGATGGCCGCGTCGCTGCAAGCAACCATTTCCACGTCGCACACCTTGCCGGTCCAGCCGGGGCTGCACAGACACTGATAGTGGTTCCTGTCCTGCCTGCAAGTGGCGTTGTTCTCGCAGGGCTGGCCCTGGCCCTGCCCCGAGCACCAGTCCACGTAGTTCTCGCAGTGCTTGCCCGTGTAGCCGTAGGGGCAGTGGCAGGAGTAGTACTTGACGTGGTCGTTGCAGGTGCCGCCGTTGAGACAGGGGTTGGAGTCGCACTCGTTGATGCGGTACTGGCAGTTGGAGCCCGTGTAGCCGGCCTGGCACTGGCACGTGTACGAGTTGATGCCGTCGATGCAGCGGCCGCCGTTCATGCACGACGACTCGGTGCAGTCCTCGTCGTTGGTCTGGCAGTTGGTGCCCGAGAAGCCGAGCGGGCAGGCGCACGTGTACGAGTTGACGTACTGGTTGCAGGTGGCGCCATTGCGGCACGGGTTGCTGGCGCACTCGTCCACGTCCACCTCGCAGTGCTTGCCCATGAAGCCGTCCACGCAGAGGCAGCTGTAGTCGCCGATGCCGTCCAGGCAGGTGCCGCCGTTCTGGCAGGGGAAGGTGGCGCAGTCGTCCGTGTTGGTGAGGCAGTCGTGGCCCTCGAAGCCCTTGGTGCAGGCGCACACGTACGAGCCGTTGGTGTTCTGGCAGGTGGCGCCATTGCGGCACGGCGCCGAGACGGCGCACTCGTCCACGTCCTCGTCGCACAGGCGGCCCGTGTAGCCCACGTCGCACATGCACGCGAAGTCCAAGTAGTTGGCCGAGGGCGTGCAGCGCGCGCCGTGCCGGCAGTGGTTCGGCGAGCAGGGGTCGAGGCGCGACAGGCAGTCGTGGCCCGTGAAGGGCAGCTCGCACACGCACTTGTAGCCGTTCACCAGGTCGATGCAGGAGCCGCCGTGCTTGCAGGGGCTGTTGGCGCAGTCGTCGATGTTGAGCTCGCAGTTGGTGCCGGTGTAGCCGGGCACGCAGGCGCAGCTGTAGGCGTTGAGGTGGTCGGCGCAGGTGCCGCCGTGCTGGCACGGGTTGCTGGCGCACTCGTCGAGGTCCTGCTCGCAGCGCCGGCCGCCGTAGCCGCGCGGGCAGTGGCAGATGAACTGGTTGACGCCGTCCTCGCAGGTGCCGCCGTTGAGGCAGGGGTTGCTGGCGCACTCGTCCACGTCGCTGAGGCAGCGCGCGTCGTAGTAGCCGCGCGGGCACTCGCAGCGGAACGTGCCCACCATGTCCACGCACACGCCGCCGTTGGCGCACGGGTTGCTGGCGCACTCGTTGATGTTGGTCTCGCAGTGGTGGCCCGTGAAGCCGGCCACGCAGTCGCACGAGTAGCGGTTGATGCCGTCCATGCAGGTGGCGCCGTTGCGGCAGGGGTTGCTGTAGCACTCGTTGACGTTGATCTCGCAGTTGGGCCCCGACGTGCCCGGCCGGCAGCGACACTGGTACCCGTTGATGAGGTCCTCGCAGTGGCCGCCGAACTGGCACGGGTTGGACTCGCACTCGTTCATCTGCGTCTGGCACAGGTAGCCGGTGAAGCCCGGGTGGCACTGGCAGGTGAACGAGTTCTCGCCGTCGATGCACTCGCCGCGGTGGCACGGCGAGCTCTGGCAGTCGTTGATGTTGACCTCGCAGTTGGCGCCCGTGAAGCCCGGCGGGCAGTCGCACGTGTAGCCGGCCACCGCGTCGTAGCAGATGCCGCCGTTGCGGCACGGCGAGGACTTGCAGTCGTCGATGTTGGTCTGGCAGCGCGCGCCCGTGAAGCCGTTGGGGCACACGCAGCGGAACCCGTTGATCATGTCGCTGCAGATGCCCCCGTTCATGCAGGGGTCGGGCTGGCACTCGTCGATGTCCACCTCGCACTGCGTCCCGGTGAAGCCTGCCAACCACAAACGTCAAAAGTCAGAGCCACCACATAATACGAAGAGTAGCAAGTCAAATTTCACGGTGAAAATTAAGTTGCAGCACCGCTGCAGTGAGGTGCAGTCCCCGAGAGTGGCCTTTAACGCCTGCGAGTTAGGCCACCGGCCCAGCCTGCAGCACGCCGGTGAGGAGACGGTGGCCTACCTTGCGCCTGTCGTCTCACGGGGCAAGGTAGGCCACCGTCTCCTCACCGGTGTGTTGCGGGCCCGGACGGTGGCCTAACTCGCAGGCGTTTCAGGACACACCTTGACGAAGCGGAACTTGTCCAAACTCGCACTTGGCGGAGAGACTACCGACCTGGCATGCAGACGCAGCGGAAGGTGCCGGGGTCGTCGAGGCAGGAGCCGTCGTTCTGGCAGGGGTGGGACTCGCACTCGTTGACGTTGGTCTCGCAGCGCGGCCCGGTGAAGCCCTGGGTGCAGTTGCAGGCGAAGGAGCCGGGCGTGTTGACGCAGATGCCGTCGTGCTCGCAGGGCGAACCTGGAACGGAAAGGAACAAGTTGCAGAACGGTCAGTACAGCGAGGGGGCCGCTCGAAAACAGGGTGACCAGTCTAGCGCGAGGGTTGCTGCTTGGTCCTATTTTAATTAGAAGGTAAGGGGCCGCCGATAAATGTAGGCCAAGAGTGGACTACACTCGTCACGCCGTTTCGGGACGTTCCCCGTCGGAGAGTGGACAGTCGACGCCCCGTGGCGGCCGGCACAAAGAGCACTGTCTCCGAGGAGACGTTTCGTCGCTCTGCCTCTCTCGCGCCCCTGCGAGACGCCCCACGAGTGCGACGGGCGGGGCCCCGCGGGGGGCTTTAGGGACGGCCCCGCCCTTATCGGACGATGAGAGAGCATTGCTGCAGCGCTGCAGCGGGGCGTGGTCGCGGCGCGGCGTGGTGCTCTGCCTCTCTCACTCCAGGGGCGTCCCGGACGGGCGCGAGAGGGACAGAGCGGCCCGTCAAGCCCGTCTAGGCCCGCCTCTAGGCCAGCCAGGCCTGCCAGCCCAGCGGGCCCCAGCCCACTCGCATGACACGGCGACATCGCGCCGTCTCCGTCGCACCCAGCGTCGCGGTGCGCGATGCGGCCAGACCGAGATAAGTTAATGGCCCTTTTAATAGGCGAGCAGAGCAAGTCCTAGGAGCGGAGTGCGGGGGTACGGAGCCGTGTGTGTGCGCAGCATCGCAGCGCGCCGCATCGCTGCGGGCTGCCTGCAGGCCCCAGGTGGGCGCTAACAGTGGCGCGGGCACACACACACACACATACACATATACATCCCGCGCGATACGCCACAAATTAAATTCGCCGCCGAGTCGTCGTCATCCATCAAGACAGCGCGCTGCAGCGGCCGCCGCGCGTCCTCCGCTTTGTCGTGTGCGTGACTGCGTGTCGCCCCGGCACCATCCGTTTTTTTATTTCACTTCAGTTTCCTCCTCCTTCTCCTTGTTCTCGGTTCGCGCTGCAGCGCAGTGCCCGTGCCCCGGGGCGCACCCCCGCCCCGCCCCGCCGCGGACAGGTAAGGCGCGGCCGATCCGTCGCGACCAACCAGCGTGAGAAACGAATTAGCGAGTTTGTCGTCGGTGTTCTTTCCTTTCCCGGAGCACGCGCTGCTTGGCGCTGCGCTGCGCCGCGCCGTCGGCGTGCCGCGCAGCACCGCGCGCCCGCCGCCTTTTCCTTCGCTTTTTCAAACATTTAATGGGAGCCGAAGAGTTCGGCTTCGGCTCCAGCCAGAGTCGCTCGCTCCGAACCCGAGACCCAAACCGGTCCCGAGCCGGCGGCCCAGCCTGCCTGGACTGCCGCGCCGCGCCGGTGTTCGCGAGGCCGCGACCAATCCTGGCGAGAGGCCTGCCTTGCATGTCTGATCACGCGACGGCACGGACGCGGGTTCAAATCCCGCCCCATTTTTACCTGCCCCGATTTCGAACCGCCACACTGCAAGCCTCCTTTCGCCGCGGCGGCTCCCAGACTCTTATCCCTGCCGCCGCCGACGACGACGACAACGTTGACTCACCTCGGGGCGTCTCTCCGCGCCGCGACGCCGCGACCCACAGAGAGCGTATTGAAGCACATTGTACTCGATCGCCCCCTCCCCCCTCCCAATCGTGACGGCTAAGGGCCTTCCAGCAGTGTCTTATTATGCCGACCGAGCACAGGCCGTGGTCCCCGGCCCCAGTCCCCAGGCCGGCCTGCACACTCGTTCCGAGAGTCGCGTTCGTCGCTCCGTCTCTCTCCCTGCTGGACGCCGCGCGAGTGCGAGAGAGACGGAGCGACGAAAAAGACTCTGTGCCGGCCGAGGGCCTTCCCCGGCGTGCCCCCGTAAGGCCGAGGGGGCCCAAGCCGAAGGGCCGTAACGGTGAGCGGGAATTTAAACTAGCCCGGTTCGCATGCCCCGTCGCGACCCCCACCCCCGACCGACCTGACTCGGAATCCCCTCTTTAAAGCCAGGAAAAGCGAGGAGCAGCGGCACGTAAGTGAGCGCGACGCGGCGATCCCCTCATGAGGCGCGAGGAGGACAGGCAAACGCGTCCGGATGGCGGGCCGAATGAGGGACCGGCTTGGAGGCTCGCACGGAGGCGGCAGCCAGCCGCGCAGCGAGAAACGCGACGGGGACTCAAGACGAATATCGGAAGCCGAAACTGACGGCAGCCGATCGCCGTGAACGTAAACTAAAAGAGGGCCTTGGAATACTATCACTTATCGGCTCGGAATCTGTAGAAATGCAACAATGTGGGCGACGGCGGCCGTCTCTCTCTCTCTCTCACACACTCGGGAAGACAGACGGGCAGGCACACCTCCTGCTCTGTCCACACAAGGGACCGAAAAGCGACAGTGGCGCTGCCGCGGTGCCGCGGTGCCTCGGAATGCAGTCCGGGAAGGACCCTGCTCCCTGCTCCGCCCTGACCGTCTCCGTCTCTCTCGCACTCACAGGGGGGCCGGCAGGGTTGCGAGGGAGGGAGAGAGACGGAGAGCACCGCTGGAAACCGAGCTGCAGCGGCGGCGCGGCGAAAAAGTCGAGAAAAACAAGAAGCGTCATCTGGTGGTGTGGTAAAAGCGCGGTCGGCGCGGTGCGGCGCGAGACCAAGCCTGGACGATGCGGGCCTCCTCGATGTCGGCGGGGCCCTCACGTCTCAAGGTTCGACATTTCACCCGCCTCCGAGTCCGAGTCCCGGGGCGGTGCCGGAGGGAGACACGCCCAAAGCAGGACAACGAGGACGTCGCGCCGATGGACAATGGCGGACAAGGCAGGGCTCAGCGCGCTGCAGGCACCGAAGGGCGGGGCGGGGCGGGGCGGGGCGGGGCCCGGGACGTGACCGACTCCGCCGCGACATGCGCCGAGGGCGGCCGAGGCCGAGGGGCGTCGCGACGCGGCCGACCGGCTGGGCGACAGGTTCCCACACGGCAAACGCACCGTGTTTTCGCGACGTCAATGGGAATCTCGGCAAAAGCATCTCCGGGGATGACAGGATGCACACTTTTCCGAGTGTGGGTCGCGACAAAATAAAATTCAAAAACGACGTGGTTAGGTTAGCGTAGGCGGCCGAACCTAACTGCTCACGCAGTCCCCTTTGACATTCCCAAGTCATATTGCCGCCGCCGGTTCGAAACGAAACGAAAATAACCCGATGCAAAACGTCACTCGAAAAAGGAAAACGATGCCAAATGGAAGGTCTGGGCGCGCGCCGTGCGCTGCAGATTGCGATATCGCGCGGCCTCTAAAAATTTATTGTCCACGGCCGGGGCGGTCGTGAGCGCCGCTGCACTGTGGGGACGGGACGGTACACGAGCGGGCGTATGACTGGCGTATGAGCGACAGAGCCCGCGTGTCTTGCCGCTTCGCCGCTTCGCCTTGCCAGGGCTAAAGCACTGGCAGCGAGCCCCCATTCCACCCTCGTTCAGAGGCACGCTCTCTCGACGCAGTGTGTATGTTTGTACAGGGCTCGGCGGGCGGGGCAGGGGAGAGGGGCAGTGTCCACGAGTGACTCAAGGTGTTCACACCCAGCCAGGTGCCAAGATGGCATGAGACGCACGCACGCATGTGTGTGTGAGCCTGTGAGTTGGGAAGACAATTTGGGCATTATGGGACGGCCAGCCACTGGTCTCTGCCACATTCCAGCTCCGGCGGGGATACTGGACTAGTGTTCTAAAGGGTAGGAATATTCCCGGGAATTTAGGGAATTCCCGGGAACGTTCCCGGGCTCAATCAGACCCAAAAAATGGGAAATTCCCGGGAATTTTGAAAAAATGGCTAAAAACAGCTAGTTTTTGCGCGAAAAATGTAGAAAGTGCAAGGTACCAAGAAATAAATATGAATCACTTGAGTGTATTTCCATTTTTCTGTCAGAAGAGAACAAAACAAAACGTTTCGTATTAAAACATTCGTGTTTTATAAAAAAAATCATATCAAAAAGTATAACTTTTATCAAATGTGATGGGTTTCATATGAAGCAATGTTCCCGGTCAAGTGGGAATATTCCCGGGAATTCCCGGGAAGTCTCGGGAACATTCCCCTGAATGATTGTTCCCGGGAATTTTCGAACACTATACTGGACTCCCCTATACATCCCGTAAGAGCCACCCATCCAAACGCACACCTGCACACACACGCACACTGCCGTCCTGTGAGAACCAAACTCACTGCTCGGGGGCCAGGCCGCGGACGTCACCACAAGGACGTCGCCAAACCACACCGTTACCCGCATGTCACTCGGTCCGCCATCCGCCAAATCGGCAGGCAGGGCGTGAGAGAGACGCGGGGCGAGGCCCAGCCCGCGTGGCGGGGCGGCGGACACTGGCGGTCCACCGCTTTCCAGGGGCGTAGCCGTGCCGGGCCGCCAGGCTGCTGGCTGACCACAAAAATGCCCCAATAAGGGCCTGGGCGGCCGGGTCCCGCCCCGCCTCGCTGGGGCCTGCCCAGCATGCAATGCAACACACATGGACGGCCCACCCTGCTGGCGCGCTGGCTCGCTCTCAGACGAGACCAATAAGTGCAGTGCGGTCCGGTCTTTCCCTCCGTCTGTCTGCTGGACGCGGTGCGGCCGGCAAGCCGACTTCGAACGGTGCTCCGTCGCTGCGTCTCTTTCGCACCGCACGGGACGCCGCGCGAGAGTGAGAGAAACAGAGCGACGGAGTCAGTCCGCCTGCAGCCTGCGGGGAGGCTGGCTGGCTGGTTGCATCGGCTAGTTGCCCCGCTTGCCGTCGGCCGGCCGGTGCACGACGTAGGACGCTGGACGCGCGAGTTGGACGAGTTAAATTAAAAACGCGGGTAAATGTCAGCCGGCGCCCCGGCCCGGCCCGCGGCCGCAGTGCTCGCAGTGCAGTGCCCGCTCCGTGCTGCCCTTCCGAGCGGACGCCGAGCACGGCGGGCCGCGGGCCGCGAAGCTCCACGAAGCCGCGAGCACCGAGGCCGCGCCGCGCGATGAGACCCGAGTAGCCGAGGCTCGGTTACATAAACCCCCGGGTGGGAAGCGCGGTCGTCGCCACCGCGGCAGCGCGCAGCGCACGGAGAGACACAATAGGACACAGATACTCACCCTGCTCGCACTCGTTGATGTCCTCGGAGCAGTCCACGCCGCGGTACCCGGACGCGCAGCTGCAGGTGTAGGAGCCGTTGATCGGGGACGTGTCGCAGATGGCGTCGGCGTGGCACGGGTTGGACGTGCACGCATCATCGAGGTGGCACAGCAGACCTGGAAAAACAGTAAACAGGATTAGCGACCGGCCAATTCAAGTTCGACATTTCGAGCGCGCCGCGGTGGCGGCTCCGTTACTTTCCCGCCCCCCTGCCCCTCCACGACGATGAGGAGGAAGAGACCTGGATTGCGCACGGTGCGCGGCGCGCCGTGGCGGTGGCTGCACTGCACATGCGGGGCCGCTACTTAGCACACAATGCCCGCCCGGCCTTTTGCCTTTTACTCACCCCGATAGTAAAATCCCCTCCCCTCCCCCCTCCCCTCCCCTCCGTCCGCCACTGCCAATCGCGCAGAAAACGACGCGCCGACCGAGAAAATTGATTCCGGCGCCGCGCTACCGCGGCGTCGCCCCGTCTCTCTCGCACCGCTACGGGGGCGCCCCGTGAGTGCGAGAGAGACGGAGACTCATGGACGGCAGCGGGCGCCGCGGTCTTAAAACTGCCGCGCCACTTTGCGCCGCGCGGCATTTGGCTGGACGTGGCCGTACGGCGGAGCGTCGAACGAGTCGAACGTCCAGGCCGCCGCCCTCCACGAGGACGAGCGGGACGCCGCCAGCGCCGCCAGCCTCGCTGTCCAGGCCGGCGGATCAAAGCATCCCGGCCCAGGCCGGCGGAGGCGCCACAAAATTAGAAACCAACGACCGGCCCCGATTTGCCTGTTTCCCGTTGGTGGTCGCCGTCGTCCTTGTTTCGGTGGACGGCGTCCCCGGCGCCCTTCCAGCCTCCCAGCTCGCCGTCAGGCCGTCAGCCACACGTTATGAGCGACCTTTGCCACCCCACCCCGCCGCGCCAGCGTGTCCGTGTCGGCCCGACGCCAGCCCGACGCCGGCGTGCACATTACTATTGTGTGTTTTGATTGCGCGCGTCCGCCCGTGACGCCCCCCTCCCCCTTTTCTCGCGTTGCGGGAGCCCCTTACAGTGTGAGGGTAGGCAGGCCCGCGCCACGCGTCGGTTCGACGGGACTGCCTACCCCGCAGGCGGCTTGCTTGGCGGCCTCCGCGCCGGCCGAAAAAGGCAGCCGCCGCGGCGGGGCCTCGAACCCGGACCCTCCGACCCTTACCTGTCTTGCCCGGCGTGCACCGGCAGTAGAAGCTGCCGACGCGGTCGATGCAGGTGGCGCCGTTGAAGCAGGCCGCGCCCGCGCAGTCGTCGATGTTGACGGAGCAGTCCGGGCCGGTCCAGCCGTTGACGCAGATGCAGGAGAAGGAGCCCGCCGTGTTGGTGCACGTGGCGCCGTTGTGGCACACCGAGGGCCGCAGCGAGCACTCGTCCACGTCCTGCTCGCACAGCTCGCCGGTGTAGGCCGGCGGGCAGCGGCACGTGTACCCGTTGACGCCGTCCACGCACTCGGCGCCGTGCTGGCACAGGTGGCCCGGGCAGTTGTCGATGTTCTCCTCGCAGTTGGGGCCGCGGTAACCTGAGGGCACAAGAGGAGCGGGGCGTTAGAGAAACACAGTGGCAGTGACATTTGACAGTACAACAAGTAGCAACAATTTCCCAGTCTACTAATTTCGCAGCTCGACTTTACCGCTACAACAAAGGCGCCCATCTCTGCGAGGCCAGAACGGCCGGCCGCTGAGACTAACTGCCGCGTCCCGCAGCACCTCCACTCACTCACTGAAAGGCACCCTTTTGCCAATCTTCTCCGCTCAGTTTCGTTGTTCGAACCACTTTATGAGCCTCCATGCCGCCGCCGCAGCAACTACTTGCTACTTGGCCGCCGCCGGTTACGCAAAAACCTCGTCTCCCCTCCCTCTCACTCACACACGCACGCGGCGCGCTGGGAAGATGCAACTCGGGTCAAAGCCTGTCGCCGCAGTCACGACTCGGCGCTTGGCGGCGCTTGGCGCACCGTATTGACAGGGTTGCCGCCCGTCCGGAGGACTCCACTGTAGGGTTGCCACTGGCCGGAAGACGCCGCACTGCCGCGCATCCGCATTACCTCACGTGGGACACGCGGGGCGGCCGCGTCGCCTGTCCCCTTGCCCCTGTGTGTGTGTGTGTGGGAGTGAGTTGGGGACGCAATTTCCCCGCTCGCGACGATTTCTTTGCCTTACAGCGTAGTCGCGCCTCCCCCACCCCTTCCTTGAGACTGTGCGCTGCCGTGGTGCAGCAGGTCTACAAGGAGCGAGAGCCAAAAGGGACCCTACACTGCAGGCTGATTCCGCTGCCCGTAAGGGTGCGAGAGAGACAGGGCGACGGCCGCACCGCGCGGAAACACTCTGCTGCGCTAATGAACGGGCGCACGCACCACACTGGTACACGGGCATTTTTCTAGAGCTGCTTTCAAAAGTGCACCGTACGTGTACCTCCTCCCCATGTTGACCGCACACACACGCGCGCGCGCACACACACTCGCGCAGTGCAACGACATGGCAGCAGAGCAAGGCGGGCGGGCCCGGGCACGGCAGGCAGTCCATCTTGTTCAAGTCCACGCAATCCGACTAACGCATGCGCCACGCCACGCCACATGCGGCGTATACCGGACTCGCTCCCGCCGGTCTAATGCCACCGTGCTCTCCGCCCTCCACGCCAACGACGACAACAACAACAACAACAACCTCGAGGTCCCGCCCCACGCAAACGGCTCAATGATGGCCGCCAGGGAAACGAAAACGCAAACACGCAAAACGAAACTGGGTCTGGCGGGAATCGAACCCCGGTCCCGCCGCCGACGTCGTCTGCCACTGACACCAGAGGCACCCAGCCGGCCGCACGCATATCGCGCGCCAAACCGTCCCCACACATGTGCCGTCGGCCGCTCCGCGTTTACTTTTCTCGTTTTGCGTCGTAAATTTCTCATAACGATTAGTCATTCGCCCCGGTGCGACACTTTGACTGGGCGTGTGTGCGTGCGCTCCGTGCGCTGTTTGGGCGGGACTCGAGAGAGTGCAGTCGGAGGGGGGAGGGGGAGGGGGGAGGGGGAGGAGGAAGCTGCGGTTCACGGACGGGCCGGAATTATGGGCAACATTTTGAGGAGGCGCAACACGGAGAGCACGATTCGCCGCGCCACGTCGACTCGGCGTGTGTGTGTGTGAGTGCAATGCCAAAACCGGCACCCTCCTCCCTTGCCCCGCGTCGCGGCCAAACACACCAACACAGCGCGCGCACACACACAGAGCCAGTTTGTCCCGAAGGAAACTTGCCAAGGAATTGTACTCGTCCCGACCAAAGAGCCGGCAGCAAGCCAGCCGCAGCAGGGTACCCGGCCCAGAGGAAGAGGGCGGGGGAAAAAAGTTTGAGAAGGGGGAGGGGGCAGCCAAGGAAGGAAAGGAGAAACGAAAGAAAGGGGGAAAAATGGACACGATCCGAACCACGACCACGTGGTGGACGTATGTGCACGCGATGACACCGCCACGCACCGCCACGCCAGACGAATGGCCAAAGACGGATAGACAGATGGACGGATAGATGGATGGGTGGATCGACGCGACAAATTGAAGTCGGGCAGACGCGGGATGGAGGTCCGAATGGGTGTACCTGCGGCCGGCACACGCTCCAAGGGATCTGGAAAAAAGAGGGGCGAGCCCTCGGCAAGGATCCGCCTTCTGGTGACCGATTCCGGGCCAGTCGCCTAGCTTCTCACCACCGCGTCGCCGCGTCGCCGACCTCTGGCACCCGGGCCCCGGGAACGCGGCAGCGACGGCCGGCCTTGCTCCGTGTTGTCTTTGCGGTAAGAGATGAAACAATAAAAGAATGAAAACAACGCGTCGAAAAACTCGGGCCGACAATCTGGCCGCTAGATCGGCGGGGCAGCAACACCACTGTGGGCACCACCACTGTGGGCACCACCACTGTGGGGCCTTCCGCGGACAGAACGGCCGGCCGGCCCGCCGGCCACGGAACCTGGAGCTCCAGCGGAGACCGACTTGTACTCGCTTCGGTCGCGGCGGGGTTTTCCACGCCAAATGCACCACAGCAGCGCAATCGTCCGGCACAATTCATGCAGCGAAACGGGCGGCCATTGTTGCCCCACAAACTTAACTATTTTGGGCCTTTTCACCCAGTACTTCGAGCACACTATAACATGAGCTTATGTGCAATGAAACTACACCGTAACTTTCAGACTGAATCTTCTGCACCTGACTCTCAAAATGCTTGGTAATGGTTTTCGCTGTGCAGACTTAAACGTCTCCGACCAAAGTGCAAGCCAGCCGCTCTTCGCCGCGCGCCTGGAAAATCTCCATTTCATGGATTGCGTTGTTTAGGCGGCGAGCGCTCGGTGGTCTAGCGGCCCTACACTACACTGTAGCGGCCCTAGCGGGGCCCGGCGTGGTCGGCCTGGTCTGGTCTAACCATAGGCAACGCGCGGGCAATGGCTCCTCGCCATGCCATAGCCACGCCATGGCTGCAGCCCCCACTCCTCCCCTCCCCCCCCCCTCCCAGACCCATGCGATGGAGCGCACTAGCGCACTCGTCTCGGTAAACCACGGACTGATGAGATGTGATGACCCTCCGGGAGAGAAAAACGAAGAAAAACAATCGAATGGAGAGAAAGAGAGAGAGACGGAGGGAGAAAGAGAGAGACTAAAAATAAAGGAGGCACATGGAAGCCCTACGGCATCATGCTGGGACGAAAAATGTCCGACCGCGACCAGCACTCAAGGCCTGGGCGCAACTTTGTAATGGCCGCGAGTCCCGCACTGTCCCCTGGACACCCAATTCGTTTAGAAACAACAGTTGCACAATTACGAAACTGTCAACAGTAAGCGTGAATGCAATGCGAGAAAGAAATTTAGAAAAATAAAGTTTAATTAAACTACGCTCGGAACATTTTTCCTAAGCGCGCGGCGTTTCAAACTTCCAGCGCGTCATCCCATCCGCTTTCCAAGAGCGCCAGGCCGCGCCGCCCGCCGCGCTATAAGGTCTCGATAAGTTCGATATCTCGATATCTCTCCATCGCGCTCGGTAATAATTTCACGGCGATGACTCGACCGCGGCCGCGCCGCACGCCCTTCTTCTAGGAACACGCCCCCGACGGCGACCTCGTCCCCCCCCCTCCCCGAACCACCCGTGTTCAGGTTCACGCCGCCAAAGTCGAAACGACGTCGGCTTTTCGGTTGGCCGGCCCGGGCCTCGCTGCGCGGGTCATAAGCAAGCAGCCCGCCGTGCCGTCGGTGTGCTGCGGGCGGCGGCACCGCCGGGCACCGCGTCGACGTCGACGCCGTCCTCGGCCACGTCGCCACGTCCCGATCTGCATATCCCCGTCACGACGGCCAGACCGGGCCACTCTCCGAGCCGCTCTCGCCACGACGCGGCCAGCCCGCCAGCCGGGCCGCCAGGCCGCGCCACGGTCCAGCGACTTGCACCACTTTACACGGCGTAGGGGTGCTGCACTGCGCGGCCCGATGCAACACGGCGGCAGGCAGCACAGTGAGCAGAAACCACGGAACACTGAAAAATGTCCCAAAGGCGGTGCTTCGCGGTGTATCAGCAGCGGCCCCGTCAAAACAGCCCGTCGGGACAGACAATCGCGAACGGTACAGGCAAAGCAAGGCGCCGGCGAGTGCCCTAGAGTGCCGCACCGCGTCCACGCCGAGACGCACCCCGTCTGGCGGGCCGGGCGTCTGGTGTTCCTGGGAGGGGGCCTGCAGCACTTCGATCGGAGCAGTCATCTTCGGCACGGCGACGCCCTGCCACGCAACGCCCCGCCACGCCGGCCGACACGACCGTGACACAGCAGGGCACAACACATTACACACGTCCCACGCGCCGCAGCGCCTCATCCACTTCCCCGTCCGTCCGTCCGTCCGTCAGGGCGACCGTGAAAGCCACGGCATGTTGACATCGTACTGTAGGTGTGTGCGCCGAGCGGCCGAGCGCCACGCAGTGTCCACGCGGTGGCGGGGCGGCCTCCAGCCCCCGCCCTCCGATACCATCGCCCTCCCACGCCCCCGCACTTGACTTGCATCTTCCGTCCGGTCCTCCGGGTGGGCGCTTCGCGGCTTCGCGCGTCGCTCCGCGGATGGCGGCCTAGGCCTCGCCCGGAGTCCATTTCAAGGAAAAACAGTTAATCGAACGGCTGATAAGACAAGGGAAAAACCTGGTGGCCGAAAGAAGAAGAAAATGCGTTCGCAAAGCGGGGCAGGCCGGCCGGCGCCTTGGGCGAGGAACACGAAGAAATAGACGAGAAGATGCGGACGAAAGACGAACGGCCGGAAAAAAGATGAAACAAGGCGGCGGCAACGGAGCCTGGTGCGGAAAAATGCGAAAAGAAAGACGCTCCTCTGGCTTCCACTGCGTTCCATGTTCCACGACACTGCAAGCCAGGCAAGCCAGGCCGAGGGCCGAGAGGATGGTGCGGTCGGGCCGCCATGCCCAGCGCAGCCGGCGCAGCCTGGGAAGGACGGCGACACAGTTGATGCTGCACCGGCGCAAAAGGGGGAGGGGGAGGGGGCGAGGGAAGTACCTCGTTATAATGCAGCACGCGATGCACAGCCAGGCAAAGGGACCCCGGCTGCCCTGACGATTGGACCGCTTCCCCCTCTCCGCCCGTCGGGTTGCTTTTCCATTTCCCTCGCACACATTTGCTCGACGTCGCCTCGTACAACCACACCGCGCCACGCCACGCCACACCGCGCCAAGCCGGGCGCAGTGGAATTGAAATCCGCCGAGGACAGGAGGAGGGCGACGGCAAACGGCAGTGCAGCGGCGCGGCGGCCTGTGCAGCACATGCGGTCCTGCAAACTGCACGCCCTTCCCGCCGGGAGGTCCTCCGCCCGCACAGTGGGCCAGACGACCGGCGGAGGCGGCCAAAACTCTAGACGCGTTTTGAGCTCCGCAGTCGCTAAATGGGACTCGAACCGGACGTGTGACCCCACCAAAGGACTGCTCCTGTGGTCCACAGGCTCCTCTGCGACTCACATCCCCACATCTTTTTCTCCAGCAGGACCCCGACACCACACTGTAGACTTTGCGTGGCGGCAACAGCAACAACAACGCCCAGATCGTGAGGGAGCCCTTAGCGGGCAGACGGCCCCCGCCAAATCAGGAGCCCCCCGTCGCATTCCGCGCGCAGGGATGGCCAGCCGGACGGACGGACGGACAGACAGACGGACAGACAGACGGACAGACAGACGGACAGACAGACAGACGCACAGGGCGGGAACGGACAGCTCCACAAATAAGGAGACGAAGCGACGACGGCGACGTCCGTCCGTCAGGCCGGGCCAGCCGGCCGATGCCGCAACGGCGTCGCTCCGTCTCTCTCGCACTCGCAGGGCGCGCCGCAAGGGCCGCACGGGTGCGAGAGAGACAGAGCGTTTCGGCCTGCCGTCATTACCGGGCGTCCCGCAAAGGTTATGCACGCACAGCACGCTAATTATTTGGCTTTTTGTCGCAGCGTCCGCACCGCCGCCACATCCACGCCCTTTCCTCATTTCCAGCTTTTTTCGTTGTTTATTGTTTTTTCGCGGCGTCCATCCTCGGCGCAATGACGCGGTGGTGCCACAAGTGCCGGCCAGTCGGCGGGGCGGGGCGGGGCGGGGCGACCGGAGGCGGCTGAAACTTGAGTTCGGGGGCTCGGCTTACCGCCGGGCTCTCCTCTCCGCCTGCCTCCGTGGCGCTGCGGCGCGCTGCGGAGCGCTGCCGAGCCAAGCCGGCCTGTTATAGCTACGCAGGAACAGGTTTCGGAATGAACTTCCCTGGAGTCCTGGAGCCGAGTCCGTGCGCCGTACCGCCGCCGTGCCGACGCCCGGTCCATCGTCCATCCGCCGCGGCCCATGCCCTGCCCATGCCCTGCCCATGCCCCGACGGCCCGACGCGTCCTAGAGCACCGTGTGCGCGAGCACCGCCCAGGCCTGCCGCCAGAGGGCGGTGGCGGCGGAAACGACTTGGCAGTGCTTGGCAGAGAGTCCGGCGGCGGCGGTAACTCTTACTCACTCCCGCTCACATGCCAACTGGAGCCGAGTTGCCCGTCCGAGGCCCTTCCCGCACCGCAGGGCGTTCCCTTCAAACTACTGTACAGTGTGCACACACTGCTCATTTACTTGACATTGGCTCTACCAGTGTATTTTCTTTGTTTATCACTCTGTAGACACGTGTAAATTTGAGGGCGAGAGAAGATTTTTAGCACGAATCCGAATAAATCTATTCTAGTCCATTGGGTCGTCTTTGGTGGATCATGACCCCCCCCCCCAAAAAAATCACTATAAAACAACAATAAAACGAGACTTACCTTTGGGACAGGCGCACTCGAACCTCAGCGCGTCCAACTGCCTGCAGGTGCCGCCGTTTTGGCACGGCGACGGGTTGCAGGGGATGTAGTCGCTCTCGCAGTCCTTGCCCGTGTAGCCCGGCTCGCACATGCACCTGCCAAACAACCAGATTCACGAGTTAGAGACGGACGGGCAGACAGACAGACACACAGACAGGGCGCCGGCTAACGGACAAATCACAAAGCACATAGGTCAGCGGAAGGGAGGGCAGACACGCACGCCCCGCTCGCCGTATACATCGGACTTTGTCTCGGGCTGTGTGTCGGTGTGAGGCGGTGTGAGAGCACGCATCCTCCAGGGACGTCGGCCACCAGTGCCTGCCAGTGCAGTGCGCTCGCATTGTGGTTCCCGCGCGGGTGCCAGTCATATTTACGATCCCAGGGGGATTTGGATTTCGAATCAGCGCGGGTTCGACCCCCGTAAAGCACGCGATCATGCGGGCACCGTAAAAAAACGACTTTGTGAAATTTTCTTCGGAAACTGTCCCGTTGGCGCTGCGGCGACAGTAACGATTTTATTCCAAAACGACGAAAACAAAAAGGAGGAACCGGGCCGGGGCGCCGGTCTGCACAAGTGGCTACAAAATTTCACACCTCCCAGACAAGCACGATGTCGGGACGGCCCCGGCAGAACCTGATTTTCCAGAACGCGTCCATTTAGGGCCGAAACGAAAAAAAGGCAAAGACAGAAAAGTGCCATTAATGTCTCCGGCGGACCGGGCCGGGCCGGCGACAACGTTCGGATGATGTCTTCCTTCGCCGGGAACCACTCGGCGCCGCGGAACGGAATACGAAAATGATAATTTGAATTTCTAGTGATGATGGCGCGCGAGTGCCAACCAGTGCCAGCTGGACGCATTCTAGCCGTCCTAGCCGGCCGTTCGGACGGCCAGTCGCTGAGCCGCCCTTTCCCGCGGCCGCGTCCGAAACGAGGGAAAAAGCACCGACTGGAGACCCTCCGCGAAGCGCGACGCGGACGGGCGCACTTTCCGGAGGCGGCAGCGATCGGGTTGCCCGCTATTTGCGTGCCTTCGGCCGTCTTCGGCAGTCTTCGGCACGCCGAGCCGTTTCCGGCCCGGCACGCTTACAGTGCAGTCCGGGAAGTCGCGGGGAAGTGCGGACAGCGCACGCCGCGCGTCACGGCCGTGTCTCGTCGGCACGCGGACGAACGGACAGACGGACAGACAGACTCCAGCGGCGTGTCACGGCCGTGTGTCTCGCCAACACGCAGACAGACAGGCAGGCAGACGGACAGACCGCGGCGTCAAGGCGCCAATAGCCTCGCGCCAGGCCGGCCGTCGACGCGCAGGGTACTCGCCACCGGCACCACGGCCGCCGCGCGCGGAGCGGCCCTGCACCTGGGCGACAGTGTCGCGACACCCGACACCCCATCCGATGACAGTTGAAAGGGGCCTCGCCCGCAGTGCACGGCCGCGCCGGGCGCCGAGCGCTGCCGAGCGCCGAGCACGGGTACGAGTGGTACTTGCGCATGTCGACGGGGGGCTACATCGCGCCGGGCTGCCGGGGCAGTACCGCCGCGCCACGCCCCGCCACGACGGCGGCAGCGGTAGTGTCCGGGCCGGGATGGCCGGGTGCCAGGGCACTGCCAGGGCGCTGCCAGGGCCCGGCCCAACAACGCCGCGCGGCCGCGCACAACGGCGTCGCCGCCCAGTGCGCCGCAGTGCGCCGCGCGGACAAGTTCAAGGTCCTCCCCCTCCCCCTTCCCCCCACCGTCTTCTAGTGTCGTCCGGCCGCGCGGCGCAGCGCCCCCGCAGCGCGCGACGACGACCCGCCGGGGACCCGCCAGCGTAATTGGCTAGCCGGATCGGATTGGGTGCAAGCCGGATAGACTCGGCGCGCGCACACACACACAAACACGCGCCAAACTGGTCTTTGACTCCGCCGAGCCACACAGAAACGGTCAGCTTTAAGCCGCGCGCAGCTCTCATGACAGCCGCCCGATTCTAAAGAGTCGTCCTCCGTCGCGCACATTCACGCAGTCTGAGAGAGACGCCTCCCCTCGCGCTACTCACTTGTACGATCCGTGGGTGTTGATGCACTTGCCGTGCACGCACGGCTCGGCCAGGCACTCCACGATGTCCTCGCTGCAGGTGCTGCCGCGGAAGCCCGGCGCGCACGCGCACTTGTACGTCGACTCGAGCGACGCGCAGTCCGCGCCGTTCTTGCACGGCGAGCTGGCGCAGTAGTCCTGGCGCTCGCAGTGCCGACCTGCGGGCAGAAGAAGAAGAGGAATGAGCATTTGATGATCTGTTCAAAAAAAAAATCTTGAAATTTTTCGGAAAGACTAAATAAGGAAAAATCTATATAAAAATTCCAGACCCTCAATTGCTTTAATTTTGAATGGGTTTTCTTCGGGTACAGTACAAAAAAATTCTTTTTTGGGAAATTTTTGACGGAGTTTCGAAATTTATTGGGCGAGCCATAAGATCAGAACAGAACTAATGAGGAGTGAGGACAAGTTGGCAATGACACCAGGTAGCGCCTTGCCGGGCGGGCAGTCCCGTCGAACACGTGCGTCGTGCGGGCCTGCCTACCCACTCCACGTAAGGGGCTCAATTGCAGTCCCGTCGAACACGCGCGTCGTGCGGGCCGGCCTACCCGCTCCCCGTAAGGGGCTCTTTGACTAGACTCGAGGGGCTCGTGGTTACTCACCGGTGTAGCCGAGCGGGCAGTTGCAGGTGTACTCGTGCAGCGAGCTGAGCTGGCAGGTGCCGCCGTGCTGGCAGGGCGACGAGTCGCAGGCGTTCTCTAGCTTGATCTCGCACAGCGAGGCCGTGAAGCCCACGGGGCACTCGCACCAGAAGGACGCGTAGGGCGAGTCGCGCACGTGGCACGACCCGCCGTTCTGGCAGCGGGGTCCGGGGCCCGTGTGGCAGGGGTTGGGGTGCTGGCAGAACTCGCCCACGTACAGGGAGGTGCAGCTGCAACACAGGGAGAGACAGGGTTAGTGACAGATTCAAGGTTCAAGCAGGACTTTCAACAACGGCTCCGCCAAGCAAGCATGAGCCACGGGGACCCTTTTCTCGTCGTCTCATCTTCGACGCGCGCGGTTTCGAATCACGTTTCGGCTTTCATGATCGACCGAAAGCAGTATCCGAGCGGCAGCGAACGGCCACTAAAAGCAAACAACAAAACTGGAGAAGCGAGCGCGCAGCATCCGGTCGAAAACAGAAAACGGTGCCGAACTGCCCGGAGCGCACTTCGATGACGAACCGCACCGCCGCCCGGCGACTTCAACGCCCGAGGCCTACAAGCAGCTCAGTGGCCCAGTCAGTCCAATTTCTCGTGATCGCCTCGCTCGATTGTGCCAACCGGCGGACGGACAGACGGACGGCCGAGCCGAACCCAGGCCCGACTAACGGATCCGCGGGAAAACCGTCTCGGGGATGGAAGAGGCAAGCGCGCACGCGCGATGCGGCCGAAGACGCAAAACGTATCATTGCGCGCTGCGGGCTGCAGGCTTGCATACACGCCACGCGCTCCCGGCCTGCCCGCGCACAGCGTGAGCCGCGAGAGCACAGCCCGGCCAATCATCACGCGTATTACCCCCCCCCCCACCCCTTCCGGACATTCCTTCCCCGGGTAAGTACCCGCCGAGGCACCGCCGGTGGGGCGCAGACGGGCGCGGAGGGGACGCGGATCGAGAGGCTCTTAGTGGCGGCAAGTCGGAGAGTCAGTCCTCCCGAATCCATTAATCCGCCCGGCTGCCTCCGCGGCGCCGTCTGTCTCTGTCGCACGCCCGCGGCACGCCCCGCGAGTGCGACAGAGAGAGGGCGATCCGGAACCAGCCTTACGGCGGCAGCGCGAAAAGTAGCGCTGTCATCGCCGGCCTGAGGGACTCCGTCGCTCCGTCTCCCTCGCACTGGAGGGGCCTTCCGCTGTGGCCGCGAGAGAGACAGAGCGACGGAGACGGCATCAGCGCGCCGTGCCGCTGTCAGTCTCGGGTCTCGGTCGGCGTCGTGGCCCCGTCGGGGCGTGCGTCGTGGCCCGGGGGCGGGGCGGGGCGGGGCGGGGCGGGCGGGCCGCTGCCGCTCGGCGCTGAGTGCACGGGGGCGCCGCAGCACCTGACCCCACGGCGGCGGCGTGCCCCAGCCCCGCCAGGGAGCCCCGCCAGGGAGCCCCGCCAGGGAGCCCCGCCAGGGAGCCCGCCAGGGAGCCCCGCCAGGGAGCCCGCCAGGAGCCCCACCAGGGAGCCCCGCCAGGGAGCCCCGCCAGGGAGCCCCGCCAGGGAGCCCCGCCAGGGAGCCCCGCCAGGGAGCCCCGCCAGGGAGCCCCGCCAGGGAGCCCGCCAGGGAGCCCCGCCAGGGAGCCCCGCCAGGGAGCCCCGCCAGGGAGCCCCGCCAGGGAGCCCCGCCAGGGAGCCCCGCCAGGGAGCCCCGCCAGGGAGCCCCGCCAGGGAGCCCCGCCAGGGAGCCCCGCCAGGGAGCCCCGCCAGGGAGCCCCGCCAGGGAGCCCCGCCAGGGAGCCCCGCCAGGGAGCCCCGCCAGGGGCCCCGCGGGAGCCCCGCCAGGGAGCCCCGCCAGGGAGCCCCGCCAGGGAGCCCCGCCAGGGAGCCCCGCCAGGGAGCCCCGCCAGGGAGCCCCGCCAGGGAGCCCCGCCAGGGAGCCCCGCCAGGGAGCCCCGGAGCCCGCCAGGGAGCCCCGCCAGGGAGCCCCGCCAGGGAGCCCCGCCAGGGAGCCCCGCCAGGGAGCCCCACCAGGGGTCACGGCCCCAAAGTGGGAAGCTGCCGCGCGTTCGGCGTTCGCGCCGCTAATTGCTCGCCGACGCCGGATTTCATTCTCCGTTTGTTTACCTAAAACCCGCGCGCCGAGTCTGCCGCCTCCAGCGACGTGCCGCGGCTTCGATGCCGCAGTGCCCGGCGCGTCCCCGTTACAGCCCCAGCGCGCCTGTCTCTCTCTCTCTCGCTCTCACACAGTGGCCCGCCGGGCCGCCACATCAGTCCCAAGCCCTTGCCGTGCCAGCAGGCTGACTGGGGACTGGCCTAGCCTCGCCTAGCCTCGCCCAGCCTCGCCTAGCCTCGCCTAGCCTCGCCCGCCGAGACAGCGGATGGACGGGCCGTAAACGCAGTCGAATCACCATCAACCACTCCGCGCAGCCCCGTACAGTGTACATCCCCCCGGTGTTCTCACGGCACGGGGTCCCTCTCGGCCGGAACGCACGGCAAGGCACGCCACGGCAGCGTGTTTGGCGCCGTGCCACGCCGCGCCTAGGCAAAGAGCGACACACTCACACACACACAGAGGAGCAGTGGGTAGTACAGAATCCGACATTCCCTGCCGCCAAGCCGCTGCCAAGTTCCTGTTCCTCCTCCCCTGCGTGCCCCGTGGGGGGTGAGGGGGTGGGGGCGGACGAGCCGCCTGGCCACGCCCCTCCGCGGAGTGACCTTTCGGGTCACACACACACTCACGCACGCACTAGAAGTGCTCCACAAGCACCGTCAATGCATAAGGGCGTGTGCGTTCATTGCGACACTCGCGCCACCACGGCACGGCGTGGCGTAAGGATAGCGGGCGTGAGCTCAATGACCAGCAGGGCGCCCTGTCACCTCGCGGACACACACACACACACAGAGGGAGAAGCCAAAGCAAAGGTCAACAAAGAGGGCCTAGCTGCAGCCGCAGTGGACTCCATGAACGAACCCTCCTTTGCCTGCGTTCATTTCGGCCGGAGGAAGGGAGGCACCACGAGGTCTTCCCGGAGCTCTTCTCGCATGCCGTCGTCCTCCTCGACTCGAGCCGCGCCGCTTTCAGAGCTTTCTCGTCTCGGATGGAAAATGAGGCAGAACGCGGCGAATGCGGGATCATTGTCGTGGCAGCATTATCGAGAACCAACCCCCATGCAGGCCGTCTCCCTCCCTCTCTCTCGCACCCATAGGAAGGAGAACCTGTCCAGAGTGCGAGAGAGACAGAGCGACGAAAGTGCGCTGTGCTCAACCCAGCCCGCTAGGGCCGTGGACCCCGCGCTGGTGCACTCTATACTCTCTTAGCAGGTGTGTGTGTGTGAGATTGTGTGTGTGTGCCCCTTGACGGTTTGCCCATCGCGCCACGCCATCGGCAGACGATACACGGCTCGATAATGCGATCCTCGTCGCGTCCCGTCCGTCCACCCGTCCGTGCACACAGTGTACTGAACGCACAGTAGTGTCGGCCTAGCGCCTCTGCGAAGAACACAGCCACCGACTCAACAATGAGAACGAGAGAGAGAGAGAGAGAGAGAGAGAATGGAAGGGCGCACGCACGCAGCGATCCGACACACACAGACTCACACACACGCTGGACAAAATTACACATTATACATTCCATAGGGCCGGGCGTGACACGGCGCGTCTGGAGAGAATGCTGATGATTGCACGCGAGTGGATATGAAAAAGGGGGGGGGGGGGAGCGTCGCGACGCGTAAATGACCGCCAAGTGTCTGGCGTCGGACGGCCGGTCCGGTCCACTGCAGCGCGGCGCAACGCAAAGCGGCAGAGCGCTCCAATTGAGCGAGTCGCGTGTTCGCGGCGTGCAGCGCCCTCGAGTGCGTGGGCGGGGCTGGGTCTCTCTCTCTCTCTCTCTCTCTCTCTCTCTCTCTCTCTCTCTCTCTCTCTCTCCTCTCTCTCTCTCTCTTCCCCTCGCCAAACGCGAAAAAGTGCGGCGTACACTATTCCGATTCCAGACGGACGGTGCTGCAGCTGCTTGCTCCTTGCTGCCGGACAGCAGGGAGCGGCAGCCCGCTCTAATTGTGGCGAAGCAACCCCAGAAGCAGGAAGGCAAAAGCACACACACACACACACACACAACGGCAGCAAGCACGCTGGGCGGCGACGCGCAAGGCCGTTCCGAGAACCTTAATCCGCACGTGTGTGTGTGAGTGTGTGTGTGTGAGTGTGTGAGTGTGTGTGTGTGTGTGTGAGTGTGCGCGAGACGTTTGGTCCAATTGCATGCAACAGCGTTCGCCACACAGCCGCACACCGCCCTGCCCGGCCAGGCGAGGTCAAGCCGCGTGTCCGGGCCAGCCCTTCTGCGTGTCCGTCTGCCACACACACACACGCACACACGCACACACACACACACACACACACACACACACACACACGCACACACACACACACACACACACACACACACACACACACACGCACACACACACACGCACACACACACACACACACGCACACACGCACACACACACACGCACACACACGCACACACACACACACACGCACACAAACACACACACAAACACACACACACACACACACACGCACACACACACACACGCACACACACGCGCACACACACCGAGGCAGGGGCGGGTGTATAATTAGCACACTCGGCCCGCGAGTCCGCGCGACCCCGAGCGGTATCGCGTGATACAGGATCGGCGCGGCACGGCACTCCGATCCCATCGGATTCATTCCGATCACTCGCCGATATGTAATTGCAAGCCACGGCATGCGGACAAGGCGCGGCGCGGCACGGCACGGCGCGGCACGGCGCGGCCGCGAGGCAGGTAGAAATGACGTGAATGTCAATGTCAGGCCGGGCCGCTCCCACACCGCCACGGCCACACCGGCCACCGCGCAGGTGTCACACACACGCACTCACACACACACAAAGCGACATACCACTGGCGCGTTGTACAGTAACTAGCAGCGGGTATGTAACGACTTTTCCACCCCCCGAAACGAAAACGGACGCGACTCCGCGTGCACACGGCATCTGATCCTCCGGGGGCACGGCCCGGCAGACAGACAGACGGACAGACAGACAGACAGACAGGCAGGCCCGGACGTGACTGTGATAAGGCGCGGAGGCCCCTGCACTTGACTTTGAGTCGACTCGTGGCGCCGTCAGGTCGGTCACTTTTAATTGGCCCGGTGTGTCTTTTTTCCAGTGTGGTTTGCCGCCGTCCTTTTTGGCAGTGTGCTGGCCGGGCC